ATTCCATCTGTTGCAGCTATTACCTCTTCTARAGTTGAGTTGACCTGCATTGCTTGTGGTCATTTCTTTCCTTGGCTTTTCATACTGCTCGCGTTTCTTTCTGCTTGGTGAAACTGTTGTGTTTTTGAAATTTTCCCTGTATTTATTTATATTGCTCTTGTATAGTTGAAAAAACTCCCTTGCAGGGCAGGTAGTGGCTCTGATCCTCCTCCAATTGGGGTGATCTGTCTAACACACTGGCAGGCCGCTAGGTCTGCTCTGCCGGTTGGTCGCAGGTCCGCCTACCCTGCAGGCGCGTGGGGGCCGCTCTGTCACTCCGCAGGTTGCTGGGCCTGACCTGCCGGTGGGTCACAGGTCCGCCTACCTTGCAGGTGCGGGGGGAGGTGGCGGCTCCGCCCCTCAGCTAGCTGCTGGGCCTGATCTGCTGGTGGTCACAGTTCCGCCTACCTTGCAGGCACTGGGGGAGGGGGCGGGCCTGCCCCTCAGCAGGCCGCTGGACCAGCTCTGCTGGTGGGTCGCAGGTCCACCTACCCTGCAGGCGCGTGGGGCAGCTCTGTCCCTCCGCAGGTTGCTGGGCCTGACCTGCCGGTGGGTCGCAGGTCCGCCTACCTTGCAGGTGCGGGGGGAGGGGGTGGCTCCGCCCCTCAGCAGGCCACTGTGCCTGATGTGCCGGTGGTCAGAGTTCCGCCTAACTTGCAGGCACGGAGGGAGGGGGCAGGCCTGCCCCTCAGCAGGTCGCTGGACCTGCTCTGCTGGTGGGTCACAGGTCCGCCTACTATTAAAAAATTATTAAGACTTGAATTCACATATCTATTTGTTGTCTGCCACTACCAGTATAATTGCAGCTGTCAAATTTAACATAATTAATAATTGTACTTGTCATATTTTTAATGTTTTTAATGCAAGGAAGTCACATACAAAAATAGGATAAATATTATAATTTCTCAAACCACATCCATCAATACTAAGACAAAGCCTTCAAGAACCAAATTAAAGCTTCCAAAATACTTTTAATACAATTGCATACCTTGGGAATATTTGAAATAGTTGTTGTATTAATTTCTATTTTTGCTGTATGATCCACTTCGGGTGAAATTTCCTTCATATCTTCAGGAGGAGGAGAAGTCTCTTTGCACTAATGTGAAAACATGAATGAATGTATATTATTATTCTAAGACTTTTACAAATATATATATACATATAAATGAATGTGTGTATATATACAAATAAAAACTGACAATAAAATAAAATAGTCACCCATGTGACAATAAATTTAATTAGTTTAGTGTACTTCATTAAACTGATGAAAACACTTTTTGTTTTTGTTTTGTGGTGCTGGAGATTGAACTCGGGGCCTCATGTATGCTAAACATGTGCACTAGCACTGAGCTTCATCCCCAAATGGAAATTCTTTAAAGTACATGTACATAGGATTTAATACAAATATAGCAATGCAAATGTCTGACAATAGGGCACTGTTGGACATTTGTATTTGCAAATATGGAAGAAAATTCACCAAAATTGAGTTGTAGGTTTGAATAAATGTAATTTTATTTAATTTTGTTTTTTGGTACCAGGGATTGAACCCAGGGGTACTTTACCATTGAGCCACATCCCCAGTCTTTTAAAAAATATTTTATTTAGAGACAGGGTCTCGCTGAGTTGCTTAGGGCCTCACTAAATTGCTTAGGCTGGCTTTGAACTTGTGATTCTCTGGAGCCTCTTAAGCCGCTGGAATTACAGGCATGTGACACCACACCAGGCCTAATTTTATTTTTATTGTTTATTTTCTTATTTATATTTTCTAATATTTCTATGATGATTATATATTACTTGTACAACTTAGAAAGTTATATATGCTAAAATAGTTATATTTCCTAAAATCAGTATTATCTTTTTATTATGCTAAATATCAACTTACAGTTAACTATTATTCCAGCATTTTAAAATTTTGTTGATTTTTAAAATATAATTTATAATTTTTACTATTTTAAAATTAAACTTGCCCAATAAAGAAGGTGTAAAAGATAAATAATATATAAAAGAAATCAATGAATACAAATCTATATTCCTACTACTCAATAGTAATATTTTTAATAATGTGTTAGATTTTTATTACTTTATAATTAAATTATTATTATTATTATTGTTTTGTGGTACTGGGATTTAAACCCAGAGGTGATTTATAACTGAGATACATCTCAAGCCCTTTTCAGTTTTTATTTTGAGACAGGGTCCTACTAACTGCCCAGATTGGCCTCCAATTTGCAATCCTGGCTCAGCTTTCCAAGACGCTGGGATTACAGGCACACATGTTTCACAGTGCCCAACTATTTATAATTTTTATGTAATTAAAATTTTATTTATATGGTGATAAATGTGTTATAAACACAATATATTCTGTTAACATTTTAAAAATTAATATAACAATTTTCTCCTATTATGAAACTTTGGGAAAATATAATTTAAAATAACACCTATATTGATGAGTGTTTCATGGTTTAATGAACTATTTCACTACTGTTGGACTTAACTATTTCATGATTTTTAGATATTATTACTAATATTGCAACAAACATCTCTCTATAGATGTCTTTTTAATATTTATGGTCATTTACTTAGGAATCAGGCTACCTATATTCAAACACCAGCTGTACTACTTTAACCATGAGCAAGTTTTCTTAGCATCTCTAAATATTACTTTCCACAAAACAGTAAAATGAACTAGACATAAGTTTCTTATATATGAATATATGACCAGTACAACTCTACATCACGTACAACCACAAGAATGGGGTACTAATTAGAATAAGTCATGTATGTCAAAATATACTCTACTGCATGTATTTCTAAAAAGAACAAATAAAATAATAAAAGAAAACAAAAAAATTACTTTCTACATCTTTAAATAGGAGTAATTCTAGTATGAAGTACATGGGGTTACTGTGAGGATTAAATGAGTCCAATGAACATTAAGGATTTTTTTCATATAGCATACAGTTCAAAAACATAGTATATAGTTGTACTTTGATTTTTTTAATCCACTAAGCAAGTCTATGTCTTTTAATTGGAGAGTAGAGACCATTTACATTTAGAATTATTATGGAAAGATTTTTATTTCCTGACACTTTGATTTGTTTTACATTTTTAATTCACTCTTTTTAATTGGTTCTTTTAGTTATACATGACAGCAGAATTCATTATTCTAGTTAGAGTCCCATTCTTATGGATGTATATGGTAGTGGTATTTAATTCAGTCTTAATTTTCATTTGTTTAACTAGTCTTCCAGTGAGATTCACCCATTTAGAGATCTGGGGTTTGCTTTTTGAGGTCTTCTGTGGGTAGTATTTAAGTGTTTTTTTGTAGTGCTGGCTTAGTAACAATTACTTCTTTTATCCTTATCTTGAAAAGTTTTCATTTCTACTTTGTTTATTTTACTGGATATAATAATCTTGGCAGGCAGTTGTTTTCTTTCAGAATTTGGATCATCTCATTCCATACACTCCTGGGATTTAGAGTCTGAGCTCTTTGATCCACTTTGAGTTGACTTTTGTGCAGCGTGAGAGACACAGGTTTGATTTCATTTTGCTACATATGGATTTCTAGTTTTACCAGCACCATTTGTTGAATAGGCTATCTTTTCTCTAGTGAATGTTTTTGGCACTTTTGTCTAGTATGATATAACCATATTTATGTAGGGTTGTCTCTGTGTCCTCTATTTTGTCAATATAGTTTTAATTTGTATTTCTCTAATTGCTAGAGATGTTGAACATTGTTTCTATACATTTTATAACCATTTGTATTTCTTCTTGTGTGAAGTGCTTGTTCAGTTCCTTTGCCCATTTATTGATTGGGTTATTTGGGGGTTTTTTTTGGTGTTAAGTTTTCTGAGTTCTTTGTATAACCTGGAGATTGATGCTCTATCTGAAATACAGGTAGCAAAGATTTTCTCCCATTCTATAGGATTTCTGTTCACATTCTTGATTGTTTTCTTTGCTGTGAAGGAGCTTTTCAGTTTGACACCATCCCATTTATTGATTCTCAATTTTACTTCTTGTACTTTAGGAGTTTCATTGAGAAAGTCAGTTCCTAAAGTGACATGATAGAGACTTGGGCCTACTTTTTCTTCTAGTAAGTGCAGGATCTCTGGTCTAATGCCTAGCTCCTTGATCTACTTTGAGTTGAGTTTTGTACAGGGTGAGAGAGAGAGACTCAATTTCATTTGGCTACATATGGATTTCCAGTTTTCCCAGCATCATTTGTTGAAGAAGTTATCTTTTCTCCAATGTATGTTTATGGTACCTTTGTCTAGGATGGGATAACTGTATTTATGTGGGTGTGTCTCTGTGTCTTTTATTCTGTTCAGTTGGTCTGCATGTCTGTTTTGGTGCCAATGCCATGCTGTTTTTTGTTACTATAGCTTTAGTATAGTTTAAGATCTGGTATGGTGATGCCTCCTGCATTACTATTCTTGCTAAGGTCTCCTTAGCAAGGAGGCTATTCTGGGCCTCTTATTTTTCCAGATAAATTTCATGAATGCTTTTTTCATTTCTATGAAGAATGTTATTGGGATTTTAATAGAAATTGCATTAAATCAGTGTGGTTTGAATGCATTTCCCTAAATGCCAATAGTGTTGGACATATTTTTCATATATTTGTTGGCTATTTGTATTTCTTTGTGTGAGAAGTATCTGTTTAATTCATCTGCCCATTTATTTATTGGGTTATTAAATAAACACTCTTGACATTAAGTCTCAGATAGACCCCAATATAATAATACTGGTGATTTCAAAACACCATTCTCACCCACAGACAGGTAATTTAGACATAAAATCAAGAAAGGTACTTCTTTCTTAAATAATAACATAGAGCAAATAGACCTAAAAGATATCTATAAAATATTTCATCCAAGAGCTGAATTTACTTTCTTAGAAGCTCAAAGAATCTTCTCCAAAACAGACTATAGTTTGAGTCACAAAACAACGTTTTAGCACATACAAAAAGTGATATAATGCCTAACATTTAACATATTGGAATGAAATTAGAAATCAACAACAAGCAATACTATAGGAACCACATAAACACACAAAGATTAAATAATAATCTTTAGAATGAGAAAAGAATAAGAGGGAAAAAAAAGAGAAACAAAAAAMTTTCTAGAATGAACTGAGAATACTGATACAATACCAAAATCTTTGGGATGGTATGAAGGTGGTTCTAAGAGGAAAGTTTATAGCATTAAGTGTCTACATGAGAAAAACAAAAGATCCCAAAACAAACCATCTAATATTACATTCTTAAGGCCCTAGAAAAGAAACAAACCAACCTGAAAACCAGTAGAAGACAGGTAATACTTAATATTAGAGCTGAAATTAACGAAATAAACATTAAATAATACAAATGATCAAAGTAACAATGAGCTGGTTCTTTGAATATATATACAAGGTTGATAAATCCTTACAGAAAACTAATACAAAAAGAGACAAGACCCAACTTAATAAAATTTGAGATGAAAAAAGACATAATCATCATACATGTTGCTGAAATCCAGCAAATAGTAGGGACTAATTTGAAAACTTGTGTTTTATTCATTTTTTTGTTGCTGTAATGAAAACATCTGACAAGAACAATTCTTAGGAGGAAAAGTTTATTTTGGCTCGTGGTTTCAGAGATTCAGTTATGATCAGCTGACTTCACAGCTCTAGGGCCAAGGCGAGGCAGAAAATCATGCTAGAAGGATGTGGTGGAGGATAGTAGCACAGAACAGGGCATCAAGGAAACAGAGAAAATAGTTCTATCCACCAAGGACAAAATATGAACCCCAAAGACATACCCCCAGTGACCTGCTTCCTCCTGCTACACTCTATTTGCCTATAGTTACTGCCCAGTTGATCCCTATCAGTGGATTAATCCACTGATTGTTATACCTCTCATAATCATTTCATCTCTGAAAATTCTTGCTTAGTCTTGCACATGAGCCTTCAGGGGACATCTCATATATAAACCATAACACTAATATTCCAATAATTTGAAAAATTTAGAAGGCATTGACAAATTTCTAGACATATAAGATCTACTGAAACTGAACCAAAAGGATACAGAAAACCTAAAAAGACTAAGAGTTAACAAAAAAAAAAAAAAAATCTTGGGGCTGGGGTTATGGCTCAGCGGTGGAGTGCTCACTTAGCACATGTGAGGCCCTGGATTGATCCTCAGCACCACATATAAATAAATAAATAAATAAATAAATAAATAAATAAATATTGTGGCCAACTACAACTTTAAAAAACAAACAAACAAAAAAACCAAAAAAATCTTGCAACTAAGAAAAGTCAGGGATCAGATGGATTCTCATCTGGGTTCTATCAGACCTTTAAAGAAGAGCTGATGACAATCTTTCTCAAATTATTTCATAAAACAGAGAGGGAGGGAACACTCCAAAGTTCATGCTGTGAATACAGTATCACCTTGATACATCAATGAAAGAACACTAGACCAATATCCCTGAAGAACATAGATGGAAAAATTTTTACAAAAATATTAGCAATCTTCATTTAAGAATACATTAAGAAGATTATACACCATGATCAAGTTGGAGTCATCTCAGGGATACAAGGTTGATTCAGCATATACAAATCAATAAATGTTAATTCATCAAATGGATAAAATTAAGGACAAAACTCACATCTCAATAGATGCAGAAAAAGCCTTTGACAAAATCCAGCACCCATTCATGTTAAAACACTGAAGAAACTAGGGACTGAAGAACTTAACTCAACATCATAAACACTATAAAACTCAAACCAACATCAGATTGGATGGAGAAAAACTGAAAGCATTTCCTCTAGAATACAGAATGAGACAAAAATATCCAGTCTCACCACTCCTATTCAATAATAGTTCTTGAAACTCGAGCCAGAGCAATCAGGCAAGAGAATGAAATTAAAGGGATATACAGGAAAGGAAGAAGTCAAACTATCTGTTTGCTAACAATATGATCATGTATTTAGAGGACCTCAAAAAATCCACAAGACTTCTTGAGCTGACAAACTTAGCAAAGCAGCAGATTACAATGTCATCATATAAAAATTATAGCTTTCCTATACTCTAATAATGAATCTGTTCAGAAAGAAATCAGGGAAACAATTCAATTCTCAGTAACCTTAAACAGACAAAAAAGCAACAACAACTACAACACCACAACCTGGGGAATAAAGCTAACTAGGAAGGTGAAAGACCTCTACAATAAAAAAAATAGTAGTACATTAAGAAAGAAGATGAGGATGACCTCAGAAGATGGAAAGACGTATCATGTTCTTGGAAGAATTAATAAGCCATGTTACCAAAAGTTATTTACAGATTCAATGTGATGCCCATCAAAATAACAATGATGTTCTTCACAGAACTAGAAAAAAGTCCTAAAATTCATATGGAAGAATAAAAGACCCAGGATAGCCAAAGCAATACCGACAATAAGAGCAATGCCAAAGGCATCATAACACCTGATCTCAAATTATACTACAGAGGTAAAATAACAAAAACAGGATGGTGTTGGCATAAAAATAGACATAAAGACTAATGGAAAATAATGGAAGACAGAGACAGATTCACATAGATACTGTCATCTTTGTCAAAGGACAAAGATGCCCCCCCAAAAAAAATGTTGGAGAAAACACAGCCTTTTAAACAAATGGTGCTGGGAAAACTGGATACACAGATATAGAATGAAAATAGATCAATCTCTGTCTCCCTGAACAAAAATCAACTCAAAGTGGATCAAAGACCTAGGAATTAGACCAGAAACACTGTTGCTGTTAGAAGAAAACACAGAATCAAAACTGCAACATACTGGTGCAGGCACTGACTTCCTTAATATGACTCTTAGGTTCAAGAAATAAAACCAAGAATCAAAGTGGGATGACATCAAATTTGCTTCTGCACAGCAAAGGAAACAAGATCAAGAAGAGAGAGCCTATAGAATGGGAGAAAATCTTTGCCATCTACTCTTCCAATAGAGGATTAATATCCAGAGTACATAAAGAACTCTAAAAACTTACACCGAAAAACATAACCCAATCAAATAACGAACAACTAAACAGATATTTCTCAGAAGAAATAGAAATGGGCAATAAATATATGAAAAATGTTTTAACATCCATAGTAATAAGGGAAATGAAAATCAAAACTATACTGAGATTTCATTGCATTTCAGTTAGAATGCCATTCATCGAGAATACAAATAACAATAAATGCTGGTGAGCCTTTAGAGGAAAAGGTACACTTTTACATTGTTAGTGGTATTGCAAATTAGAAGGACTACTTTGGAATGTAGTATGGAGATTCATTAAAAGACCAGGAATGGGGGGCTGGGGTTGTAGCTCAGTGGTGGAGCACTTGCCTAGTATGTGTGAGGCACTAGGTTTGATCCTCAGTACCATGTAAAAATAAAAAACAAAGGTACTGTGTCCATCAACAACGAAAAAAAAAAAAAAAAGACTATGAACGGGATAAGCATATGACCCAGTTATTCCACACATTGGTATTTATCCAAAAGAACTAAAATCAGCATACTATACATGCATACCACTGTTTATAGCAGTGCAATTTATAATAGCCAAGTTTTAGAACCACCTATGTGCCTGTCAATAGATGAATGGATAAAGAAAATGTGGTATATACATGATGAAGTTTTAATCAGCTATAAAGAATGAAATTATGTCATTTGCTGGCAAACGGAAGAAACTGGAGAACAACATGCTAAGTGAAATAAGTCAGAATCAGAAAGTCAAAGGTCAAATGTTTCCTCTCATCTCTGGAAGAGAGAGGAGCGGGGCGGGGGGTGGGTGGCAGAGAGAATGGAGAAAGGAAGGAGAAAAAAGGGAGTGGGGAACCTCATTAAAATAGAAGGGAGACCAATACACTAGAGGAAGGGGATTAAGAGGAAGGGAGGGAATGGGAAGTACTGAGAAACAAAATCTACCACATTATGCTATGTTCCTGCACACATATATCACAATAAATCCATATATATATATATATATATATAGTGATAAGTACTAATTAAATGATAACATAAGGAAGATCAGTAGAGTTAAGGGGTCAGGAGGAGGGGGGCGTAAAGGGAAGGTACTAAGAAAGGAGATTGAGAAAATTATGTTATGAGCTTTAATGAATATGACACAATGAATCCCACTACTATATAATTATAACACACCAATTTAAAAAAATAAAGTAAAAAAAGAGAAAATAACTGACACCTAGAATGCCAAGTCCATCAGAATAAAAACATAACTGAATAAGTCCACCCTCCGCAAAAAAAAGTCACTGTGACTTTACTAAGACAGTTAAAATTAATTTTCCTAGAGTATGTTTAAGAAACAGTATGAGGCAAGGAAGCAGAATTTAGACAACTTTTTTTAAGTGGGAACACAGGACTGGGACAGTAGCTGCAGAGAGACATGGAGCCAGGAGAGGGGCTTAGATCAAGGAATACGAACGGTTAACACTTCTATATAATGCCAAACAAAAAAGCGGTCATTTTAAAGGGAAAAGATGTACTTCATTCACTTGTTCCCATTTAAATCAAGTAAGTTATAGTATATCTCTATTTGTTATTTCAAATATTTATTACAGAAAAAAACAAATCCATATTTTGAGTATTTACTACTTACAGAATCCCTATGTGGCATGATATCCACAAAAGACACTTTCTTCTCTACAGGTGTTAAACGTCTAGGTTTAGGTGTTGGTACCTAAGATAAACCAATATGTCAGGATGAGTATGGTGAATAGTAGATAAAGTTTCAAAAATTTTTTGTTTGGCAGAGGTATTTGGTTATTAAGTTTGCATTCAAATTTTATGTTTGAAAGAAAATTTGAAGTTATAGCTACTCACTGCAACTGATGTGCTAACAGAGGATGTTGGAGGTAGTGCCTTAACAACTTCTGGTTCTCTGTGTATGAAATTTCCTTCAACTTCAGTAGTTATTGATCCACTTGGTGGAAGATAAGCAAATTTCCATTTTAATATAACATGGATAGTGCCTGCAGGATTCTTTTGATGATCTATTAACTCAAATAGTCCTGTCAAATTACAAAAATATTTTTAATTAGTAAGAGTGAAATTTTATTTACATAGCAATTAAAGAGAAACAAACTCTACTTAAAAATTTTTTTTAGTATTTTTTACTTACAACTCAAATGTCATTGAGAATAAAATAAAGAGGAATTATGATAAGTTCGTTTCTCAAACTGACTTCTTACAGAAATTAAGGCCTCAAAGATAATACTGACTTAACAATGGGAAATTAATTTATAACTATTTTAATTCCCTGAAATTAAATTCAGGATTATTCAGAATTCCTAGCCTTCTTCTAAGACATATCTGGTTGTATTTCAAGTACTGATTTTCATTTTGACTTGAAAATTCTTGTAAGAGACTTGTGTCTAATGAAAAATATATTAAAATTTTAAAATTTCAAACAGTTTATGTATGTAAAGAAATCTTTACATTACTATAAATTGTTATAATTTTAAAATATATGTACTTAAAAATATTTTTTATTGTAGATGGACACAATACCTTCATTTCATTTTTATGTGGTGTTGAGAATTGAACCCAGCATCCCATACATGCTAGGTAGGCACTCCACCAAGTGAGCTACAGCCCCAGCCCAATTTTAAATATATTTTACTGGAAGTTGTTACATTATTGCAAATCAATATCTACACTGATAAAAAGTCTATGAAATAAATAGATCAAAGAATATGAACAAAATATTGTTAAGATGATAAACTTCTCTTACAGGCATAGGTAAGACTTTCAAATGGCTGAATGAAGAGCTCAGCAAATATTCTTCCCAAAAAGCAATGATAAAAGTGGACAGAATGCTTCAAAACAACCATATAAGGAAACTGGAAAGTGATCAAAGATATGCAACAAATTGAGCAGCATTTACTGAAAAACATTCAAAACAGTAAGAGTGTGGGACTGCTCTTAGTGTCTCCTCTCCTCCTTCTACTACATGGTACCTACAGAGGTTTATAACATATACAGGCATAATATATATATATATATATATATATATATATATATATATATATATCTCAAGAATAGCAGAAATGAGAATGAAAAAATAGTGAGAATGAAATTGTATTCGTTTTTCTATATTTTAATGGAATTAGGTTTAATTTTAAGTAGAGTATGATATGATGCATATTATAATTCTTACAGCAATTGCTCAGTAAATAACTAAAAAAAAAAATGGCCCAAAGTTTAAGGATTCTGAGAAGGTTAGGGAAATTAGTTATAAACAAATCACATCCATAACACTTAGGTACAATTTAAGTTTGCTTTTACAATTTTGTAGAATCAAGAACACAGGCTTACCTGAGATACACCTGTCATGTGCCAATGAAATCAAAGGCACATTGACTTTTCCTATGTAAATATTCTCCTGGGTATCACTATCATCAAACACATAAAAACTCAGAGACTCTGACTTAAGGTATCGATCCAAATCCATATTCATTGGCACTGGGAAACACATATGATCATCAAACTGTGGATCATTGCTACTGGGAATGATGGCTGTATCATGGTCTGCAAAATCAAAAAACTTGTACACAACATATGGGTGTGGCTGCAGGTGGCGAGCTCGGGACTGCAGGTTGTTGCAACATCTTATTGTAATGTCAAGTTCATTTAAGTTGCCTTCTGTGGAATCTGTTGAACTGAGCTGAGCAGTTTTAGGTACTTGCTGACTTAACTGGAAAAACATACATATTTATATTATAGAAATAATACAATTAAAAGATAAACAGCAGCTGCCAACCCCCAAACAAAATAATTTTGTAAATGGACAGAAGCTGCATATTTTCATCCAAAGTTAATTTATCAGTTAAGGTAAAAAAAACCCCACCTTTGATTCTTATTTAAAACCATATGTGGACAGATGATCCTGTGCTATTAGCAGCAAACATAGGAGATTGAGAAGGTATGTAGAAATTGGTGTTAAAGCCAAAACCAACCAAGAAAAGAGTTATTAATTCTATTTAATAACCAGAGACTACAGTGAGTGATAGGTCTAAAGAAGAATGCCCTAACCAGAGGAGATTCATCGCTTGTCCACAGTGATAATTCTGTTATATTTGGGGTTGGCCCTCATCCTGAACCACTGGGGCTTGAAGAAGCAGATATATGAGGCCAAGATTAGCCAGTGTATCAAAGTCCAACTTCTATAAGAACAAGAAAAATATGGGAGGGCTAAAAAGCAAGGTTTGGGAGGACATTTTGGAAGAGAGATGAGCAGCAGAAGTTATCAGGAAGAGCTGGGAACTACTCTATGGTTCCTTATGGAAATACTACTAAGAGGGCCACCACACAAGTATTTCGGAAAATAACTGCACTAAACAGTAAATCTTCCATAATTGATATATCTAGGACAAAGAAAATGCTAGTGTTTCAGTGTCCTTGTTTAGTTTAGTGTTGGAGAATTCTCTCCTTTCCACGAGGAACTCCTCTGTATTTCTGAGTCTGGATTGAACAGATGAGACCCCTAACTAGGAGACTTAATTGGAGAAGGCCAAATAGAGTCAGAGTCAAAATCTTCTTGGTAGAGATATCTGGTGGGTTGGAGTGGAGAAACCTGAGAAAGGAAATCACAATTCTTCGTTCCCAGGCTAGTCTGCACTCAGTTATGGAAGGCTGAGTGGAATGATTTTTAAAAGTACCCCCTGCACTGACATCCTCAAATCCATCCATGAAAGCTAAAATTCCACCAGTAAATGAAAGCCAGAATCTGGGAGTCTAAAAACCTTTAAACTACAAAAATCAAACAAATAATCCGGTTTCCTTGTTTCTAATTCCCATTTCTTTCGGCATTTCCCAAAGTGTATTATGAAGAATATTAGCCAGAAAGATGATCTCTGGGAAGCAAGTGCTATTCTTTCTCAAGTTATGTTAGTAAGGGTTCTTTAAGTGAAAGTCACAGAAACCAATCCATTGAGCAGAAATACCACACAGAGGAAGGTTATAAGGACATTTCATGGAACTGTACAGCAGAAATGTGGCTGGACCTTAGGAAGGTAGTAGGACTGGTATACTACTAAAATTTACTTTCTCTTTGGTCTCCATTTTTCTCATAATACTTGCTAATTGTTCTTTCTCCTTGGATCCATTTTTCCCCCTTTGCTGACTATAATGGTAGAAAATGGCTGCCAATTACTCCCAATTTTACATGTTTTAAGTATCATGAGTCTTGCTTTCTCTTGGTTTCAGAAAGCAGAATCTGATTGGCCCAACTGGGGTCAAGCAGATATTCTGTAATCAGTTATATAATTACATGGGGAGTGTGAGAAAATGAGATCATTTAATAGAAACCTGAACACTGGGGGGRCCAGGTCCCATGAATTGGGAAGGGTCAGTTCTAAGAACAAAGAAAGTAAGATATTTATGAGTTGAGTCAACCTTCCAAAATATTTCTACCATAACACCTTCCTCTGTTATGCAACGTAAGTGCATACCTTATGTTTCCTGTTGAAATTCATATACACAAGAAATCTTAAGTCAAGAATCCTATTTAACTTTGCTCAATTCTGTGCTTTCTACATTCACTGGATCATGGAATTCATTTAGGAATATGATCATTAAGACTCCATGAAACATGGTTTAGAAAATGCTAACCTGGGGAATTGCATTTAAACTCCCAGTTCTTAGCAAGAAAATATACATTTTGTATTTGACTTTGCATTTCAGAAACCCAATTTTTGAGGAAACAGTTTGAAAGAAAGAAAATAATTGATATTCCAAGAATAGTTATTTGCTTTCTTAACAGTGGAACTTGTTAATGAAAGACTTGATGTGTGGTAACAGTACTGAAATTATATAACCCCAAACTGTCCTGGTAGTACAAGGGAATTCTTTTTGTATTGATGTTCTGTATCTTCATTGTGGTGATTGTTATATGAATTGTGACATGTGACAAAACTGCATAAAATGACTATACACATGTTTACATACACACACACAAATGCCTGCTTGTAACAGCTGATAAAAATCTGAATAAGGTAGCTAGCCTATTATACCAATGTCAATTTCCTGGTTTTGATATTAAGCCATAGTTCTGTAAGGTGTTAACAACTTGAAGAAACTGGGTGAAGCACACACAGGACCTCACTGTACTATTTTTGCTACTTCCTATGAGACTATGATTATTCCAAAATAAGAAGTTGAAAAAAGCCACTTGAAGGCTGTGAAAGAAAATGATTTCAATTTAAAGCCTGATATATATAAGAGAATATTATAAAATTTCTATGTAATAAAAGGGTTCTAAAGTCAATAAAGCTTACCGATTGCATTTGCTCTGGCCCCTTAAAATTTGATGTTATATATCCCAAAGCCTTTGCTCGTTCTCGATAAAGTCGAATTGCTTGATCCATGGGAACTCTTAATTGGAACCAGTATTCTACTGTGCCAAAATTTGGGATGTCTCCTTTAGTTCCTACAAGTCAATACATAACCCACTGTTAAAACAGTCACATAAATGAAATCTATATAAGTAAAAGATACATCAATGGTGTTATGCATTAAAACTATAAATTTTATACAGTTCAATGATATGACTTGCACAAATGATGTATGATTGGCAAATAAGAGATGAAGAAAAGAGTTACTTTTGGGGTATGGGTTTCATTGTATGTTAAATATTATTTAAAAACTATGTCAAATTATGATTTGGGATATATCATACCATTTCAATCCTTCTGAAATATAAAGAAAAATGTAAACATTGAATCAGATACTCCCCAGATTCTTTTTGATGCTATAGTACTTTTATTTAAACAAGTTGTACTCAATATAGCCTGACATTTGCAATATGCAACTTCAAAATTATAAATATGACATTCCAAATTTTAATTCGACTTTGGGAAATTCTTTGGCATTTTTCCATTTCTTTACTGTACCAAGTACTGGGGGAAAAGTTGTATGATATTTGCCCTGCACACCCTTGTTATTCCTCTGTGAAGACTTATCCTCTGTGGAGGTTCAACAGCTCTGTACTTCCTTCACAGACTTTGTATGTCCTCATTAGAGCACTGACGGCTCTGGCCTGTCTACTCACAACTGTATAGTCTGTACACCACAATGAAAGTTTCTTGAGGGTAAGGAATGTAGTTTTCACCAATTTTTTACTCCTACCATAGGGACTAGCACATACTAGTATTTGTCAAGATACTCAATATTTGTCAAGTAGAGAATATTGTATACATAAACTTCTCTGAACATACCATGTTATTAAAACTCTACTCCTACCTCATAATTTTTTTTATTCAACCATGATTTAATATCTAACATTATTTATAAAATGTAATAGAAGAATATTAATGCATACATATTTGGTTGCATATGCATAAAAAATCTTTGGTGAGGGGGTTCAGGGGTGTCTGGAGACAGGAGAGGATAAGATACCTACATCATTTTGACTTTTAAGTCATAAATATATTATCTATGTCATCAACCACTCAATCAGTAAAATAAAATCCCTTTCCAGACACAAAATCAACACTGTTCCTTCTTAAAATGGTTTTTCTACTTGGCTTCTGAGATGCCATATACTTTCAGTTTTCCTCCTATACCACTGGTCACCCCTCAGTTTCCTTTTCAGGCTCTTTTTAAAAAAAATTATTCTGATTTGTTATATATGATGGGAGAATGCTATTCATTTCATATTACACATAGAGCACAATTTTTCAAGACACTGATTGTACACAAAGTATATTCACACCATTCGTGTCTTATACATGTACTTAGGGTAATGATATCCATCTCATGCCACCATCTTTCCTACCCCTATGCCTCCTCCCTTAACCTCCCTTCCCCTTTGCCCTATCTAAAGTTCTTCCATTCCTCTCATGCTACCTCCACCCCCATTATGGATCAGCGTCCACATATCAGAGAAAACATTCAGCATTTGGTTTTTGGAGATTGGCTTACTTCAGTTAGCATAATATTCTCCAACTCCGTCCATTTGCCTGCAAATGCCATAATTTTGTTCTTTTAATGCTGAGTAATATTCCATTGTATATCTATACCACAGTTTCGTTATCCATTCATCTATTGAAGGGCATCTAGGTTGGTTCCACAATTTAGCTATTGTAAATTGTGCTGCTGTAAACATTGATGTGGTTGGGTCCCTGTAGTATGCTCTTTTTAAGTTCTTTGGGTATAAACCAAGGAGTGGGATAGTTGGGTAAAATGATGGTTCCATTCCCAGTTTTCCAAGGAATCTCTATACTGCTTTCCAGATTGGCTGCGACAATTTGCAGTCCCACCAGCACTGTATGAGTGTGCCTTTTCCCCCTACATCCTCGCCAACACTTATTGTTGTTTGTATTCATAACAGCTGCCATTCTGACTGGAGTGAGATGAAATCTTTGAGTAGTTTTGATTTGCATTTCTCTAATTGCTAGAGATGTTGAACATTTTTTCATATGTTTGTTGTCTGATTGTATATCTTCTTCCAAGAAGTGTCTGTTCAGTTCCTTGGCCTATTTATCTATTGGGTTGTTTGTTTTTTTGGTGTTAAGGTTTTTGAGTGCTTTATATATCCTTGAGATTAGTGCTCTACCTGATGTGCTTGTGGTAAAGATTTGCTCCCATTCTGTAGGCTCTCTATTCACCTTATTGTTTCTTTTGTTGAGAGGAAACTTTTTAGTTTGAATCCACCCCCATTTATTGATTCTTGGTTTTAATTATTGAGCTACAGGAGTTTTATTAAGAAAGCTGGGGCCTAATCTGACATGATGGAGATTTGGGCCTACTTTTTCTTCCATCAGGTGCAAGTTCTCTGGTTTAATTCCTAGGTCCTTCAGGCTCTTCCTTTTCCTGATTCTTAAATGTTGGAGTCCCATTTATCAACCCTAAACTCCTAGGATCTATATTGCTCTACAGTGTGCTCTGATTGGCTTTTTAATTTAATTTCATCTTTACTCCAGTTATAGGCCACCTTTCTGCCCCTATAACAGGTCAGGTTTGTTCCTCTCTCAGATCTCTGGTTTTGCTATTTCCCCTGCCTGAAACACTCTTCCCCTGCATCCTGGCATGGAACTTCACTCAGGTCTTTATCAACATCACCCTCTTGAGGAAGCTTTCATCTCAACTAGCAATCTTCCATCCCTCTGTTAGCTTCTTGCTCAAGTTATTTTTCATATCTGAATATAATTATTTATTTGTTTTATTGGCTATTTTCCTTGCTAGAAGGTTAGCTAAGCTATCTGAGAATACAAGTTTTGTCTGTCTTATCACTGACCAGTATTCTTAGTATTTAGTAAGTGGTAACACAATGTCGTTAAAAAAAAAAAAAGATTGATGAATGTACTATAACTGTTTAATCAAACAAGGGGTATCAATATGATAAACAAACATCTGAAATAATAAGTTTTTAAACACTAAATAGCTATTTTACTGATGTCATCAATAATATTTAAGATATACTATGAATGTAAATAGAGAACCTTGTCCCTATCCAAAAGGCACCTTTAATGTATAAGACACTAATGTAGAATAACAATAGATAACTCAAATTAGTGATCTAAATATTTGAAGCCTATAAACTGTACTTACCAACCAAACTTGCTGTGCAAAATATTCGACCGCTTTTTTCTAGAATTTCATGGAATCTCAATTGACATGCTGCAAGTGTTTCATAATCTGTGCTGTGAGCTTGGTGGACTTCAAGTGTGACAGTATTCTTCTGAATATAATGTAAAAATAAGTCGTTAACATGAACAAGATATTGAGAAGTGAAGTTATATTCTGGGTGAAGGCCTTGAACTATGGGAGTTGTCTGTAGTTCAAAATCATAGAAAGCATAGGTACAGAAAGTGACAGGCTCTTTATCTCCAGAAGCCTGTAAAACTTCAGAAGAAAAGATTACTTTGTTGATGTGGATTTCAAATAGATTTTCGCCTCGTTCTAGGTGGATGGTTTCATCAAATTCATCGACAGAGTCATCTGGCATGATTTCTGGTTTAAATTTGTACTGTTTGGTGCCATAGGCAATATCCTTTAATTGGGCTACAAGAGAAGACACATAGTTTAGAGATTTTAAAATTTGACATATGAAAATGCAAACTTGTATTTGAAGCAGTCGGAAGCTTGAGTGCTTTTAGTGGATAATCTCAATCTTAAATTCTATGACTATACCATTTTTCTTGTTTTGATACATCACTTGTTAAACAATAACAAATTATAACTTCAAAATACACACAAGTATAATTTGTCAACTTATAATACAAAGTTTTTAAAAATTACAACTTTAGTTGTAATATAGCCAAAGCCAGCAAAAGGAAAAAGAAAAGCAGGTTTCTGAATGAACAGCTGAGGTCACTATTTTGTTTCACCTGCTCCTCCACCTTTTCTTTGTCCATTACCTTCTCTCCTTAATTTCTCTTTTCTCAGGCTCCTTTCCTTTAGCGTGATAGGATACATGTTTCTCCTGTGCAGGGTGAAGTGTATGTTTATTGTCTTCATTATAGTAATGGTTCCACAGTTGTATACACAAGCCCAAACTCACCAAAATGTATACTTTAAATGTGTCTTTTAAAATACATTAACTATAGTTCTTTCAAGCTATTTTTTAAAAGATCTCTTTTTATTTTCATTTTTCCCCTACTGTTACTCTCAAGTTTCTATAAAGAATAATGTATGTGCGTGTCTCCAACTACTCATGTAAACCACTTTGCCTTACTTTTCCATAAAACTACGGCAGAAAATATCAGCAATAACCAATTAATTGCTAGACTCAATGGATAYTGGACCCTGTACTATTTGTTTTCTTTGCTTCTATTGAGACTGATGAAACTCTCCCTTCTGTGAACTTCTATCTTGACTTCCATGTCATTATTTCCTCTGCCCTTCCTTTTCTTTCTCTGCTAGTTTTCTGGGGTTCTGCTTTCAATTCTTATTAGTTGACATATTTTCATGGGTCATCTCATTTACTTTTATGACTCTTGTTATAATCAGCATGCTGAAAGCTTCCATATTTCTATTTTTAACTCAGATTTCTTTCCTAAATTCCTGTCCCATATATCTAATGTTTTATTTCACCCTCTATCTTATAGAATCCCGAAGGCACTTCAAATTCAGTATATCCAAAACAGAAGGTATCATACGGTTTTCTGGCTATTTTTTTTTACTTTGAATCTCAAGAGATGGTGTTAACATTCATCCAGTTGCCCAGGTTAGACACCAGAGTCATCCTAGATTCCTTTTTTGGTTACTCTCACCATATCTTATAGGGTCACTACTATCCAACACTATTTCCTAAATCTTTATCAGATTTGTCCCTATTCTATCACCACTGTATCTATTTAATACCTTCAGTTTACTATCTAGATTATTATGGAACTCAACATGCTTCATTCCTTCATGTCTTACTCATTCTCCTAATACCAGGAGTATAATCTCCAAAATGCAATACTGAATATACTACTTTTACTTAGTGGTGAAGTCTAGTCTTTTGTTTGTGTGTGCATGCATGTGTGTGGACTGTTTCTAAAGACTCCACACCTATTTTAGAGTTCCCCAAATCATTTTTCTTTGTGTGCTAGGGATTGAACACAGGACCTCATACATGCTAGGCAAAGCACCCTACCATCAAGCCACATCTCCAGCCCTTTTACCTGAACCTTGAGGTAGGAAGAGGCATTCTCTCATCAGTGTTTTCTTAATACCTGCTATGATTTGAATTTGTTTCCCCAAGTTCATGTGTTGGAAACTTAATCCCCTATGCAACAGTGTCGAGAGGCAGAATCTTTAAGACGCAATTAGGCCATAGAGGCTCTACCTTCATGAATGGCTTCATGTCATAATCATGGGAGTGGGTTTGATATCACAAGAGTGGGTTTACTATAAAAGTGAGTTTGGTCTCTTCTTGCTTTCCCTTTGTGCATGTTCTTTTGCCCTTCTGCCTTCTGCTATGGCCCTTGCCATGAAGGACCCTCAAGGCGAACTTCCCAGACTTACAACTGTGAGAAATAAATCTCTGGGGCTGGGGTTATAGCTCAGTGGTAGAACATGTGCTTAGCATGCACAAGACCCTCAGTTCAATCTTCAGCACCAAGAAAAAAATACCCTTGAGGGTAGTGCCTCAGTTTTTTTCCTATTTGTATTCTTTACTGGCTAGCACTTTGCTTAGGATGCATTAGAGACTTGATCATGTTTACGGAATAAGTCAATGAATTTAAGAGACATATAAAACATACTTGTAAAAGTTTGTTAAGTTTTGAAAAGAATGAAAATTCTTAACTCTGTGACCTCCCTTTTAACCAAGAAAGTTCCATTAAGCAAATTTTTATTGAGTACTACTTGGAAGAAAAGGTACACACTGCTCCTCAACTTTTGGAAAGCCTTGTTCAGTCAGATAAAGATATTTATTTTGCCCTTCCTCATAGATCAGAAGTTTTAAAAATATGGTCTAGGCACCTCTGAGGGTCTCTAAAACTGTTTTAGGGGGTCGTTGAGGACAAAACTAATTTCATACTACTACCAAGATGTTATTTGCCTTTTTCATTTTATTGTCTTACATGTGTATAATGAAGTTTCTCAAAGACTAAATGATATGTGTTATTACGACAGATTAAATGCAGAAACAGATGTAATAATCCAGCTGTTTTCTATTAAGTCAGGTCCTAAAAAGATTTGCAAAACATTAAAAATTTAAAATAATGCTTCTCTCTCTCTCTCTCTCTCTCTCTCTCTCTCTATATATATATATATATATATATATATATTTTTTTTTTTTTTTTTTGGTGGGGGTGTAAACAGAACTTTTAAAAACACATACTAGGGCTGGAGTTGTGGCTCAGTGGTAGAGTGCTTGCCTGGCACGTGTGAGGCCCTGGATTTGATCCTCAGCACCACATAAAAATAAATAAAAATAAAGGTATTGTGTCCAACTACAACTTAAAAATTTTCTAGCTTGATTTTCAATATGATAAATATCAAAAAGTATATATTGTGAGAAAAAGGCCTCTGTGATCATAAATAAGTTTAAGAGGGTAAAGTTACTTCTGGCACAGATGACTAAGTGGACATGAAAGAGTCAAGTACTCATCAGTGTAGAACTTATATGGTGGTTACAGTGAATATGCAAAACTCTAACAGCCGAGGAACACTTATATATTCCTAAACATATATTTTCTGAGTACCTGAGGGGAAAACTGGGGAGGTAAGTGCTGTGCTAGCCATATGAAGCCTCACTCCTGCATCTGAATAGCTTGCAGTCATTTCTAACCATAAAGAATCATGGGCCCCCAAATCACTAGGGGTGGGGCCCCATAAGCCACAATTTAGATGGGTTCCTCAGATGATTCTCATACTTGCTAACGTTTGAAAATCACTGCAAGGACATTTTAGGAAGAGGGATGGTTAGGAGTAATCAGAGCCAGGTTCCTGACATGGGGGAGCACTGAGTTTGATTTTGAAGCACAGAAGGGTCTATGTTGAGGTCAAGGTGGAAAGAAGGTTTAGACAGAACAAACTGTAAGAACAAAAGCAGGTTGCTGGAACTGAGCAAGATCAACGAACCTAAGAGGAAGAAAGCCTATTTGGTGAGGAGTGTAAGTTGCTTAGAAGGCAAATAACAAATGTGGTGTTAAATCTGAGTCTGTGGTACTTTATGAAGTACTTTGAAATCTTGCCTGCAACAATGAAGTAGTAGGGAATTACTAAAACTTCTTAAGTAGAAAAGAATCAGATGAAAGAGCTTTTCTGGTAACTTATTATTATAGCTATGAATTTGGAAAAATACAGCAAAAAGATACTGTGAGTGAAGTTTTGGATGACATTTTCAGCCATTATAAGATCCATTCCTCTAGTTACTGTGTATACGGTACCTTCTAGTTTCTGGATGCGTGCAGCCCTGACATCAAGAAGATGAACATATTGTTCCACTTTAAGTTCATAATCTTGCTGCAAACTTTCCATCTTATGGGTCACTGCCTCAACTTCCATCTAAAATACAAGAGCACATAAACTTCAATACTATAATTAGTTCCATTTTCATTTATCAACGTTCCTATGATTCAAGCATTTTCTAGATCCTGGGAATACCAGGTCCTATAAACTATGGTTTCCTAATCTCATATAGCTTACAGTTTAGAAAATTATACTTGGCAATGTTCACAAATAAGAAGTAAAGTAAATAAAACTCTGGATTCCTTTTAATGGAGATGAGTTTCTGTTTTATTAAAAGCTAACATAAAGCCTGGCATGGTGGTGCTTGCCTGTAATCCTGGCTACTTGGAGGGCTGAGGCAGGAGGATCCCAAGTTTGAGGTTAGGGAGGGCAACTTATTGAGTCCCTGTCTTATAAAAGAAAAGAAGAAAACAAACAAACAAACAAACAAACATCAGGTGGTCCACTGCTACTATTAATTGCCCTAAACCAGGGACTTATTTGTTTTTAGACTATTTCTTTTTTTTTAAAATGTTTTATATTTTAGTTTTAGGTGGACACACAATCTTTTATTTTATTCTTATGTGGTGCTGAGGATCAAACTCATGCATTCTAGGTGAGCACTCTACCACTGAGCCACAACCCAGCCCCTGTTTTTAGACTATTTCTAACCACCTAGTCACAAGACTAAATTACAGGGATGTGGTAATATATAATAAGAGGTGGCAATAGATAATAGGGTAAATAGATGAATACATGATAACACATATGTTTAAGAAAAGTAAATCATCAGGAGAACAGCATAGAAAACCTACCCTCTTGATTTAGTACAGAGTGTACTACATTACCTGATAATCTTTGTTAATTTTATGCTGCATGATTAGCATGTTTCTTGTCTTTTCAAGTTCTTGCACTGTTTCTGCATGAGTTGCTTGCAGCTCTCTCATGGAGCGTTCCAGATCTTTATTAATTTTACTGTCTACTTTCTCTAAAAATGAAAGGTCTCCATTTTTTTGTTCTTTTTGAGCCTAAAACAAAAACATGTTTATTACTGAAGAATTTCTAAAATGTGACGGTGTGAATTAACATAGATCAAGCATGAAACAATCATTAAAAACATGTATTCAATTTTTTCCATTAGGAATACAGCAGTTCTAAAACATATTTGCATAGATATTTGGAACAATTAAAAAAATTAAAAAACAGTTTATTACCTCATGACATAAAAAAGAATCATGTATTTATTTCTCTTTAATTAAAACGTACACTATAATCTAAAAAGGAAGTAAGTGTGTATTTTTGTGTCTTCTTGTGAGTATCAGGGTATCCCAGACCTAGAAAATATTTTCTTGTTATATTTACAATTCAGTATTTTACTTGAGATAACAGGGTGTAAACCAAGGCCTCTTAGGGCAGAAAATTGTTGATTAGTTTTTTATTGTGAGATACGCAAAAGTAAAATGTTTAGCATAATTAAAGGAAGTGCTTTAAACATGAGTTTTTGATGTTTACTTTATTGTAATTTTGATGTCATTATGAAATATGCATTTGCTGCAACTAAATGTCATCTAAACACTTTCATGAGTCTTAGTAGTTACACGACCTGTGTGTGTGTGAAAAATGCACTGTTTCAGAAGATGTAAAAATAATTCACTTTCCAAATGCAAGGGTTACAGATAGAGGTCATCAGTATATTAAAATAGTTTTATGTACCATAAAACTCCAAGGGTGTAGTTCAGAAAGTTACCTTTATAAGCAGGAGAGCTTCACTCAGTTCATCAGCATTAATATCACTCTCCTGCAACAGATTAAGTAAAAGTTCACAATGAAATATTAATGGAAAGTTAAGAGAAATTCCAACTACTCAGTTTTTTTCTAATGGGATATAAGGTGTCTGTTACCATGACTTGATAAACTAAGTATCAGAGACAATCCAACTATTGAGAATATCCTCATAGAATATAAGCTTCCTGATACCATGAGTTAAAAAACCAAGTCATATGTTCATAATCTTTTGCTTTGAAATTATAGTATTTTCTCTGTGCTAAAACATGTACATGTGATTTTTGAGTTTATTTCCTAAATAAGAAATAGTTCACCTGGTTGAAAAACTTCATGTGGTTTTTAAGTTCATCGAGTTGTTGCTTTTGTTCCAGACACTGTAACTGAAGTCCTCTATTCTCTTGAATGAGTTTTTCATTTTGGTCTTAAAAATAAAGTCAACACAATTAGAAAGGTAAGTGAGAATTAGGCCTAAGAACACATTTTAAATTAATTTAATTCCTGATAAGCCCTAAGCTTGATCTAGTATTGTTTAGGTCAAAGAGAAAATTGAGGAGCACCTAAACAAAGGCAGCAGGGGAATAAGGAACAAACGAACACTATCATGTGTCTACCATATGATTCACTTGCTTATCAAAAACTTAAGTTCACAGTATTAATATAAGGAAATTGTGGCTTCTGAGACTTCAAAGGCAAGTTCTATTTAAAATGCCTAAGAATATATGTTTCTAAATCTATAATTTTTACTTACTTATTAAGGGTCCTGAAAGGCATGCAAAAATAAAAAAAAAAGTTTTGTCTATAGTTTTCTAATCCTCTTTTGAATTTTCTTTCCCCAACTCAGCATAAAGTTTTTGTATTATGACAATTTTTCTGATAAGCTCTGGATCCATAATTTAATCAACCATACTTCTAACCAATCTGTTCCAATAGGAGAAACAGATTCTCAACCAGTGCAAGATACTCAATAATGATTCGTATGTGTTCTTTATTCACTATGTTTATGCTATTAATTAATAGGACATGGATGTAGAGCTATTGTTAAGGGATGGATATAAGTTACTTTTGCCGAGGCACTCATTCGCAAGATTGTAAAGTAGAGCTACACAATAGAGCGAATTCATAAAGACTATTTTTTTTACTCTGCATTAAATATGTTAAGCATTGTTTTAAAAAAGCACAACAGCTAGCAACAAATCCACTGCAGACTTGAGCTTCGTGCTTCTCTGCACTCTGCACTAGAGTTCACCCAGGCAGTTATCTTCCTTTGCTGACTCTCTGTGGACTAACTCTAAACCATGTCATCCAAAGTGTCTCCACTAATTTCATTCTGCTCTCAATGATTTATGTTTATCATAAGTCCTCAACTTAGGTTGTACATTTTTGTTTCCTTTCCTTAAGAAAAAGAAAGAAAGAAAGAAAGAAAGAAATCAACACATTTGCCAAGAATTCTTTCCATGAATGCATTTGCATTCTGACTGCATTTTCTACAAAAATATGTTTCTGCCTTTTATAAGGCTTTGTGTTCTCAAGCTATAAATACTACATATAAGTAAAAATGTTAAGTTACACAGTTAAGAAGTAATGGACTGAATTTGGATGTTTTAAATATTTTCTGGCAGTCTCCGAAGTTACAAAAAATTACAACCTTAAGATACAAAGAGTTGCAGAGACAATTTAATCTCAAATATATAATAAGCACTTTTATCGAATTAATAGAAGGTTAAAAGGTCATCCTATGGAATAAGTTACTTTTATACAGTAAACTAACAGAATTTCCAAATATGAAAGATACTTGGAAATTTTGAAGATAAAGGTCCAACACCTGACATTTCAACTGAAAATTAGGATTAATAATAAATAAGAGTTCTTAAGAGATAAACTAACTCTTTTGGTTAAGGAGTAGAATATGTTGATTAGGTTAAAACAACAACTAGATAGAATGATTAAGAAAAACAAAAACAAAAAAACAAAGTAAATACAGTCACAAATAAAAAGTAAAACCAAAAATACTGAGGATAATACAATTTTATTCTATGGTCAAAATAAGACACTTAGGGGTTCTAAAAATGAGCTATGGTATAAAGAACATGGCTGTTCCACCTTAATCTAGTCACAGTGTGAATTTTGATCATTATTTCTATGCTTCAATTTTTCTATCCTTTTAAATTTTCAGAGCAGAGTTCTTAAGAATGATATGTTAATGGGTATGAATAAACTTAAACGTTTCCATCCTTTACTCATTTCTGTTTCAACAACTATGTCTCCATTCACTGATATTTTTAAAACTGGGCATTATTAGTAGGAAAATAACTTAGTAGGAGACATTACTGAGTACCAGTAACCTTTTGTTTACTGAATTTATGTAGACTTATACACTATATTTTTCCTTTCTTGAACTGTTTATTGAGGATATAACTCTTGGATCTTTAAAAAATACTGAAACGCCTACAGTTCAAAGAGGAAATAGACTTGCTGAATTATAATATGAAAAATCAAAGCACTCTGTACAAGATGAAAAATAACMTCCTTACCTTATGATTTGACAAAAAGCAGGTTAAGCTAAACAGCATTTTATTCAAATGAGATAACATTTCTCTCTTTTAAACTTATGTTCTTCTAGCACACCATTAATAAGCAGAGTGCAGAGAAAAATTCAACTAAACAATTTTCAGAGCTCCTTTGTGCTAATATCTTCAGCTGTGATCAATATAACCATATGCATTATGCTGAATTATGCATTTCAGCTAAAGATAGAAAGGAACTTTCAAAAGCAAGCCCTTAAACACATGCAGTTAATTTAAGCATTAACCAAATGCAAACTGCATTTACATATCCTTCCCCAGCATATTCGCACAATCTGAAACTAATTTGTACCTTGAATAAAGAGGTGAGTATTCTCTAAAAATAATTTGCCATTTAGATGAATGACTACAAGAAGCCAGGGAAACATCTTCTGGCAAAGAACACTTGCTACATGAAAAGGTAAATGTGTGAGGAGTGAGGAGAGCTCAAAGTAAAATTAGCCAACTTCAAAATTTGTAACATAATAAAAAACTTTCTCAATATTAAAATATTTTCTTAAATAGAAAATTTCATTTTTTAAATTTACTATTTCCCTGGAAAAAAAATGGTTAAAGGCTGCAAAATTTTTCTTATAATTTATCATAATATGTTTACAAAGAAACAAAAACTTAAATCCTCAGACTTGTGAATTTGAACTAGTCAAAGAAAAATAACTGGAAAATAACAGTTCTGAAAAATTTTCTTTAGGAAATAATAATTGGATAAAAGTAGAAAGATTTGTGTAGAAAAATGTTGCTTATTGAAAAATTAAGTTACTTAAATATTCATCAATAGAAGGTTGTTAAATGAGCTATGGTACATCCACACTGGAAAACTATCATAGTCATTATAAATGTGATTTAAATTTATAGTCAAGAAACAATTTTACTTTATATACAAAAACACATTATAAAACTATACACATATAGAAATAACTCTGAAAAGACATACATCAAATATAGCACTGATTATCCCGAGGGCTAAGAAATTGGGTGATTTTTTGGATTTTATTTTCTGGACTTTAATTCACAGTGTGCCTAAGTTATTTTCATTATTCAAAAAAATTTCCCAGAGATATAAGAATCAGAGAGAGAGAGAGAGAGAGAGAGAGAGAGAGAGAGAGAGAGAATATGAATATGAGAATGGACTAAATGAATTAAAATACCTTTGCAATTATAATACTTAATAATTAAGAACAACTCTCAGAATTAATTTAACAATAATAAATAGGTTAAAAAAACACTGAGGTTTTACTTCCTTTGGAAGTCTTTCTTTCCAAAGATGAATTAAGATGTCTAAAACAACATAGTTTTGATATCTAAGGAAATACAGAAAAGGATAGAAATAAAAAAGGTTTATTTCATTTATCTTTCATTTAAGAAAGAGCAATTTATCTGTTTTTGGAAAAGTGAGAGGGAGTATAGAGTACTTCCTCTTCCTTCAGTGAACAAGAATTTATTGAGCAACTGCTAAGACAAAACACTGTTAAGTATCTGACACTGCACATTAAAACCAGGAACCATGTATCTTTGACATCAAAACTTTCTTCACCAGGTCAGAAGATGATGCTGCCATTTTATTCTACTTACAATCTCCCAGAAAATTTCACACAGAAATCTATCAACTGATTTAATCACTTGGTGAATAAATATTGACTACTGTTGTTTTAATAGAATTCAGACCCTATTGATTATAAGATTTATTAAAACGTGAAAAAAGTCTGACTACAATTTTAAAATGCTATCACTTATAAGATGTATTCCAGTTTTATACATATAAAAATGTGAAAAATAATGTTCCTTTTAGTCAATAAGATAATGGCATTGTGATCTAAATCAATATGAGAGTACTAACTACAAATATAATATTTTTTTACTGAGTTTATATTAAGCTTTTAAACATTCTCATGCAACTGAATTGCAAATGTTCCAAGGAGGCAACCTTATTATCACATTACTTGGTTTGTCTAGTAGATGAGCAAACAGATTACATCACTTGAATCAAATAATTCAGTTCCCCAATGGTGCATTTGCATGTACTATCTGAGTGTGTGTGTGTGTAATTCAGATGTCTTCTTTAATTATAATTACATTACTTATATGAGACAAGAAAGGTAAGATTTGTACCTTATAACATCAAACCTATTAATGGTAATTATTTTGGCAGGGACATTTTGATAAAGCTTCCTGGTATTTAAATTTACTGGCACAGAACAGAATAAGATGTCTCATTACCAGAGAGATTTTTCTGTTCAACCTACCAAAACCAGCAAACAACTACTTCTGCCATTCTGTCATCTTACACCATTTTGTTTTTCCTCCCATTATATTTGATACCAACTGACATATTACAAATTCATATAATTATTGTCAGTTTCTACCTCTTAAATTTAAGTTTCATGAGGGCAAGAACTATGATTTATTAACTGCTGAATCCTCAGAACTTGGAAGAGTACCTAGTATATACTGGTGCTCAATAAATACTTGTTGACTGTTGATGAAAGGCTCAGGCTGGCCTCAGAGAATGGTCCTTGTGATCCCAGCTACTCAGAAGGCTAAGGCAGGAAGATCCCAAGTTTGAGGTCAGCCTCAGCAATTCAGTGAGACAGACCCTGTCTTAAAAATAAAATAAGACAAAATAAAATAAAAAGGGCTGTAGACGTAGTTCAGTGGTAAAGAGCCCCTGAGTTCAATCCTTATTACGTGAGGAGGAGGGGGGAAGGCCTCAGAATTTAGGAAAATTAAACAATTAAAGTCAACCTGAATAAAAGTAATTCTGAGAAAAAACAATTCCTTGAGCAAATATGCTAGCCTAAGTAAGGGAAATTTTGAGCAACAAATAAATTTACAAAAGTAGACAGCTATTAATACAGGCTGCATCTCTAGTACATATCAAGGCGACTGGCAAACAGTTGACACCACAAGAAGTTATTGATCGACTGGATGAATAAACATTAGATGTCTGAAATGAGTATGTCAGTAGTTTTTTATATGTACCTCTTTCAGTTTTTAATCTGTCAAGGATTTCAGTTTTGTCTGTTAAATCAGATTTTAAGGCAGTCTCGAGCTGAGCAATCTGTACTTTCAACTGCTGTTCCTTTAACTTCCATTGCTCTTCATGGGCAGCACTGAAGGCACTGCAAAACACACGTGACATGCAAGGAAAGCTTGGAAATCAGCTTCAACCGAAAATAATAAAGAGAAAAGCTTTTAGTGGCACAGAGACCACTGTCATCATGTCTTAGGAATTAAGTAAACATATGCTGGTCTGCTGCTGTTGAAACCAAGGCGCCTTTCTCAGGCTGCGGTTAGGGAACATGAAAGAGTTTGTGGGATGAGTAAAGGAACTGGCCTTAATTTAGAGCTCTAAAGTCAGAAAAGTTGGCAGTGTGCAGCTTTTGTGGGACTAGTAAAGGAATTCAGATACTGTACATACTCCAGAGGAATCCACAATTCCAAACCTCAGCAATTGACAACGAACAAAACCATACTCTCCCACTTACAAACCCTCTTAATACAGAGAAAAATGGACTTTCCACCTGATCTTTAATTCTGTGAAACTTTTAAAATGTCTTGGATAATAACATCCTAACAAAATACTGACCACCAAATGATAGCATACTGAATCACAGGCAGTAATTCTGATATTAAGAAGTACTGATAATGTAGTTTTGTCCTAAAAAACAAAAAGCAATTGGCTAAGAATAAAAAACTGTACTTGTAACACATGATTGGAATGAAAACCAATGCCCTGGTCCTAATAAGAATGTTGAAGATAGAACTACTATTCCTCAATAAAAGTATAGCAGTTTTAATTATAATTACAATCTGCTAATGATCAAGGCCTAGCATATCAGAAGGAAGAAACAGATAAAAAGTAACTAAATGGCACACAGAAGGTGTGCAGTGGTTCCTGAATCCTGGTCTAAACAATGGTGCTAGACTAGCTGTACCAATACTTAGATTAAAAAATGAAGATCCCAAGACTCAGGGACTCATATTTTTATAAAGCTCCCTAGGTGATAGCCAGGTTTTTGGAAAAATTGATCTCAATTTGCATTTCATCAGAAAGCCATTATCTGTGAAGCTTGTTATGACTGAATAATCATCAGCAGCTTTGACCCTTCTACTTATTTTAAACATAGTAAATGAAATAAACATTTAAAAATCTAGTTTTCTACTGATGATGAAGTAAATAGAAAAGAAATGTATTATTTCAAGTTGCCCTTAATGCCACTCCAGCAAGTTTTGAGGTTTTATTCCAAAAGGGATACTCTTCTGGAAGGCACAGCTTTCAAAAGAGTAAATTTTGTATTCATTTCACATTTTGAATATTTTTTTATTGCAGTTAAAATGATATGACCTTGAAAACAAATGGAATTTTAAAAGTTCCTCTAAATATGACATCTGTTTCTTCTATGCTCTCATCTCACATATGGAAGCTTAAAAGATGCATGAATCTGATATAACAATATTTTAAGTTAATTTTATCAAAGGTACAATTATATAGACACAAATGAGATCCAAACAAAATATATACTTTAAGAGCTAAATAAAGAATATTCCTTTACAAGTTCATTTTAAAATAAAGAACAAATATAATTTCTGTATCTGGCCAAATTATATATATACCAAACACACATATATGTGCATGAATGTTAGTACCTATATGTATGGGTGTGTAGTACCTATATGTATGTGTGTATGTGTGTGTCTTGTATTATTAAAAACATGCACCACCTGGTGAAAAATTAGCATGATGAAACAGGCACAACTATACATTATATAAGATGCCAAAAATTAGAAACAGTAGTGTTCCAATAGCATTACTACCAGCAAAAAGATCACCAACAGCTAATCTGGCAAAAACATCAGAAGCTGTATGTGTTTAAATTAAGAACAATTTAGCAGCCTGGTTTTTCCAAACCCACAAAATGCTAGCGTAAATCAGCATAAGTCAATCTGAATTTAGTCCACTGCTATCTTCCCTCTAAATTTAGGATTACATTCCACTGGAGTTTCATGAGGAATTCCTTTTGAATTTACTGTACTCCTCTATGCTTGGAGCCATCTGTGTAACTATAAATGGTGAGCCACATCTGGCTCCATTTTCTTTGTGAGAGCTGTATACATGATTAAATCTGCATATAAGAACAGTTTTTGAGAAACTTTTATTCATGAAAATGTTTTTGTATATTGCCAATAGTGACAACTAAGGGAGGATGTTAGTTAGCATTTGTACCCATTTCACTGTTACATTATGTTACAAAGTGATAAAATGTCAGTCTGCAGTGGAGTGCCCCTGGTGCCTGTGGTCACTGGCATGTCCATTGGCAATCACGGGCTTCAGAATACTGTGAATATACACTCTTGATCAGAAACACGATAGGATCAAAATAAAAGCCAAAAAATTTCTCTCCATTCTCCGGTCTTTTCTTCTGATAGAAAAAATTCCATTTATTCTAATGTTCAAAGGCATCCTAATGTGAAAAATGAGTAAGAATAAACTATATCATCCATAAAGAAATCCATAGGTAGGAAAACTGCAGGGGACAGGTGTTCACTTTACAGAAACAGAACAAAGAAAGTCTATGGGTATCAGCAGTGATCTTTTAAATTCTGAACAGTAGATGACAATTACAACATAAAAACTTTATCTACCCTGTTCTGAAAAAGGTTTATCATCTTTTAAACACTGATGAACACACTTTAAAATTAAGCATTAGGTTAGTGTCTCCCAAAGAGTTAGTGCCTTAAAACCATCTTCAGATTTTTCTGGATCTAACCTCATACTGACTGCTGGAATTGGATGGTGGTGGTTAGGGAGGTGTGTGTGTGTGTGTGTGTGTGTGTGTGTGTGTGTGTGTGTGTGTGTATAGAGGCTCTGAAAATGTGGTGAAAACTACATTTTCATGTTTTCCAGGTTATTTGTACACATTCTAGTTGAAGGATCACTGCATTCATTAGTTACATGGCCCCAAAACTATACTAACTTCAAAAATGAAACACAGCTTTACCATATTATAGTATAGAGTTTCTCTGGGACCAAATAGAAAGATTTAATTGCAAAAAAATTTATTCTGAACTTTTAAATTGAACATTTCTTAAAGTTCTTATTTCTTGGCTTCATATAAAAAATGTTTTAGCATATTAAGACAGACTCATACTGAATACTAACATGAGGGTTTTATCTTACCACATGATCCTCTACTATGTCATATGTCAAGTAATAAACACATTCAAAATTTCATTTGAGAAAGGAAGATGAGAATGCAATGTGCAAATCATATTTTTCTCCTGAATACTAGCCAATTTTGAATAACAAACAAATGCTTTCCTTTTTAAAACATGCTATCATTATGACTAAGCAAACAAGGAGTATATGTAGTTTTTGATGAACATTAGCTGTTGGCAATGATGAATAGCAGTGCAATGAAACAAAAGAGCTGTAAAGAATCTTAAGGACAATGTTGATTTTTGTAGTTTTTCCAACTATGCTTCTGAAAACTAATTTTAAAAAAATACTATCAAGAGAATTTTCTAGTTCTATTTACTATTACATGTACTTGTTGGGTTTTGTGTTAAAGTGACATTAATTTTTTTGACATTAAATGTTTTGACACTCATTACAAACATTTACTTACATACACCTCATATAAAATTCAAGTGTGAGCAGCATAATGAAGTCTGTTTTTAGTGTGACAGGAAAAAAATGTAACTCAAGCATAAAACATTAAGAAAAAAACCCTTCAAAGCCAGATTTACACTCTTAGATCATCTTCTAATATGGAAAGATAAAATTTTATGGTGATTAAGTAAATATGAGAAAAATATGCCTTGTCAAAATTCCATTTTTGCATTATTCCCAGCTAAGTTTGATGTTTTTTATTCCAAGAAAGTAAGTTTAGTAACTTCTCAAATTGAGGAGAAGTGGAAAATTTAGAAGTAATGGCCAAATGGCACTTATTTGCTTGTATTCAGATCATGTTAAATTATTTGAAACTACAAAATGTTCAAGATAAATATAAATCAATAAAAATTTCTGAGTGTCTGTCAGTTATTTTATTTTATGAATGTTTCCCTCTCACATAACAATTTTCCAATGGCATTAAAATCAGAGATATAGAGAAGCACAGGGTGAAAAAACTTTTATTTTCACCTAAAGTTCAGAGTTAAAAGAACTGGGTTTCGATCTTWTACTAGAGTCTCAGAAATGCTGTGTAATTCTGCAGAAGTCTTTTCATTTTTCTGGAGTCTTTTTTCCCTCATTTTAAAAACACAGGGTTGATATTATTTTTCTGCCATGTGCAATCTGCATTTTGACATTTGAAATTTTCAAACACATAATACATCAATATAAATATACATATTATTCTATAGAGATGGAAATAAAAACCAGGATGCCTAACAAATTCTTTAGGTAAAATTAATCAGGGTTGATGAAAAAGGGATCAGAATAAAACTCTGGGACCAAGGGATCCCAAAGGCCAAGGCAAATCCCATGTAAAGATTTTTAGCTACTTTACCTTTCCTGGAGGGCCCTGAATATTATTTTAACTGGTGTCTTACTGTTGATAACCCTTAATATATTAAGCCACTGTACAAAGATAGTAAGCATTAATAGGTAAACCACATAAATTACATAAATCACTGGAATAATGTTTAACATTAACTTGGGTAACTTCAAAGTAAATAAAAATAAAAGCCTATCTCTACATTCTTTGGGTATGACAATTTAAAAAAATGTAAATTTGATTAATAAGATGTAAAACAGTTAAATATTTAAAGATATATTTGTAGTTCAGATGGCTATTTTCAGAGGTTTCAGTGTATGAATATCAGCTATAACGTATCTATTTAAAGATATGTCTGTTTTCATGTAAACTGGTATTTATCATTTATCAGTATCATATACTGAAACGATTTAAAAAATTGCACACACACACAGAGATATCAGTATCATTTAGCCAAACTTAGCTGTGGAGTAGAATTTTGTTTGTAACATTACCAGAGGGGATTAATTTCTAAGACACCATAATTATGAAGCAAATTAAAAACAAACATTGAAGCAGCCCCTTAAAATATGTCTTGAGCTAAGATGCGTGTGTTTCTCTTTTTAAAGAACAAAGATAATTTCAAGTGAACACCTTTATTTTCACCTAATACAATCATTCTTAGCTAATAACCTGGAGAGCCCAATGGCTTGTGTTCAAACACAAACTCTATTTCTTCATACCTTTAAGATTATGAAATACCTTCAGAGTTTCTTAATTTCATTTTATGTTTCTTGTTTGCAAACTGGGCACATTCCAAGGTGTTATGAAGAATTTACAAAAATGAACGTAAAATATTTAGCATAGTGTCTGTTAGCCTATAGCTTGTATTTAATAGATGATACCTGTTGTTACTGGCAACAAAAACAATATGGTTTTCTGAGTAATGGCCAAAAGACTACTGCTCAGGTTAAAAACCTTACAACCATTGCCTTAAAAAGCTTATTTTTCTTTTATGAAGTAAATGTATTTCCTGTTATCTGTTGTTGATCAATATTAGATATTCTGACAAGAAATGTTTGATATAAAAGGGAATAAAAGAACAGATGGAATCATGATTTACCTGTTATAAAGTTTATCATAGTTTTCTTTTAAAAGTTCCCGTTCCTTTTCTAAATCATTTATTCTATCCTGCAGCTAAAATGAAAAGAAAATTCACATTAGGGGATTATCATGTAAACCTACACTGGGGTAAAAAAACCATATGAGAGGAGGATGTCTTGTTTCATTCTTGATTTCTAAATTGCAGCTGCTAACTTTACCACTTATACTATCTGCATTTCATCCAGCATTGGTATTTTCCACGTTGTTAAATAAACATGAAATTAATATTCCTGCTTTAATTTGGTAGAAAATGTATGCACTGCTTTATGGCAACATGTTCCAGAACTCAATAAAGAATGTGTTAAGAGCTTGCTGTTAAGTTCTGGGAAACAGAATATTTTTTACTTTCCACCATGATGAATTCCATCATTATATTCATTTTGTATTAATTTCCAATTGGCCCATAAAAAGTAAAATAATTAACTTTTACTTAAGTTTACTGTTCAAACAAATTATACCAATCACTATATTCTCTGAAGACACAGATTCTCACGTTACCTAGAATTCACAAATAGCCAGTAGCATACCTTATGAATAAATGAATAAATAAATAAAATAATGAAATAACCTTGGAATAATTATATCTTTATCACTAAAATGAGGATTTCTGTCCTCTAGTATTTCAAGTTTTATTCATAAGTGCATTTTGTAGTCACTACTTTTTCCCATGCATCAGAGCACTCTTAAAATTTATCTCCATTGTCAACATTCTCCTTTGAGGCTAGGAAGAGATAGTAAAAGAATCTTCCTAATTTAGAATAGAACGTAAGCATCTTATTTAATTTCTATTCTCCTTAGGAACAAGCTGTACAGGAAAAGATGGTGCTAGTTGGGAGACAAGAGTATTAACAATAAAAAAAAAAAGAAGTTTTCAAACAAATTTCTAGAATAAAAATTAGTTTCACAGAATTGCTGATTTTGTAGAACATAATATCATCTCCTCAGATATATTCTTATAGTTTGGTTTTGATATCTCAAATGACTAATGTCACAGTTGAGAAAATTAAGTTCCATAGGTAATTTGCCGTGTTTTCATTTTACTCAAGGATCTTTAATCCTTTGGGAAAACAGTGGATCTAAGCACATTTGCAAGTATTGTTAAACACTGATTTGCCACTCATATATTGTATTTTGCTGTGTTCAAAACACCACCCGTGTTGTTTACAATCTAAAAATAAAAAAAAAAAATCTTTGGGATGTTTCTATTTTACATTTTCAAACCAACTACAGAGAAGTTTAAAAGCAACATATGGCTAAACTCTTTGGAAGTTTACCTCTTCTATTCTTCTTTCAGAAAATGTCATGGAATGTAATTGTTTCTCAAGACTGCAGCATTTTAAACGCTGCTCTTTGAGTTGCATATTTAGCTCATCTCCATTTGCCATCAAGGCATCATGGCTGATCCTGAGAGTTTTTTGCTTCTAAAAAACAAAAAGAATAATTTTTAAACATTATTTTTGGATTATGCTTTAAATAACTGATTACAATTCTATAAGTGAATTTACTCTTGAAGTTCACATTATATAATTTATTCTTTACATCATAAACAATGTATGTGAGCTAATTACCCATAGAAGATGCTCTTAACCTAAGTGTGATGTGAGGAAGAAAATAAAGGGTTATCTTAGCATAGAGGCACATAATACATAATTGTTCCTATTCTTTATTTGCTCCTAGTTTTTCAGTTGTTGAGAGTGACCAATAAGTAAATTGTTTTTAGCAAATAAAATGTTTTTTTCTTTTTATTATAGTTACAGAGGTCAAAAATGCTGACCATTGATATTCAAAGGAAAGGATGTGCCACCACACTACATAAACAACCTTGGATAGATAGCTTTTAATTATAACAAAATAAATTAAAATTTTCAGTTCTGTAAAATAGTTCAACTCTTCTTAATTTTTTTAAAAAATGTTCTATTTATGAACATGATTTATATTCAGTTATGTATACTTAAATGTCACTTCTTTTATAAAAAGAGTCTTTTCATACTACTGATTTTTTTTTTAGTTCATTTAAAAGAAACATGGTTACTGAGCTACTTCAGGTTTATTATCTTGATGTCATTAGGCAATACCATTTTTAGCCAACAACTTCTGAGCTTTCTACATTGAAGCAGTTGTACTTAACCACTCAAATCTCCTCTATATCAATTACCCAAAAGAGATACATGTATCATAGCAGATACCTGTTATTATTGGTATATAAACAAATACCTGGGGTCACTGTTAAATAGAAATCAAAACAGTCAAAATGATAAGAGAAATTAAAATCATTTTCAAGTCCTTTTGTAATTCCCCACTTTAAAAACTGCTTTTGAACACATGTATTTTTCATTTTCCCATTCTGTATATCTGCAGACAGCACTGTCATTCTTGCTCTCTAATTAGTATCTCTTATAAACTCACACATTTATATAAAAGGTGATTATTCTTAGAATTTCAGGAGGTTCCTGTGGGATGGAAGACACTACTGAGTATGGTTGAGAAATATTTATCTATTTAATTCAATAGTTGAATTTAGGCTTCAGATGACCCTATGCTTTGCATCAATTTACTGCTTTCCTTGTTTCAGTACTTCAAAGAAAGTACTACTTAATATAAATTCTGCTCATCTGGAATGTTTTGGAGTTCATTATTTCCAGAACCCAAGCTAATTATGCAGTGCCAATAGATAGGAGCTCTCTCATGCCACATTCCTGTGGGGCCATACTCACTGTTAAAATAACAATGGGGATTAAGAATCCTAGGAACTGTCACACTGAACTGTTGAGGTTTAAAATAAAAACATTGATTGCTGACATTATGGGTACTTGACTATCTTCTGATAATGTTTATGATCAACCAAACCAAACCAAATCAAACCCACATCAAAGAAGCATTTAATAGAACATGGTGACTGATGTATTCATATTTCTGGTCTATATATTTCATAAATGTTTAGAATTATATGCAAATATAATGGTAGCTTCAGTGCTATGGGCCTAAATCGCATGGAGTTAAAAATAAATATTCATGGCATAAGATAATTTATGACAAATGTGTTTACTATTTTAAGATGACATAATATTTATAATAATCTAGGGAGTTATTTATTTATTTAGTAATTAAGTTACAAATAACAAAAAATATATGAACAGGAATTATACACATTTGAGAATAAAAAAGAATGATTTGTAAAAATCACTTTTTTATTATGACCATTTTACTTTTAAAAAATGCAACATGAACACTATTTTTTGAACACTTTGCATCTATACATAATAATAAGGTAAATTTTCACAGTACCTCTTGAAGCTGAAGAAACTTTCCTTCCATTACTGAAAGCGCATTGCTTTTCTCCACTAGTTGTTTATGAAGCTTAATCATTTCTACATTGTCCCGAATATTTGACCTTCAAAATTGTGTTTAAGAAAAAGAAGTAAAAAAAAAATAAAATAAAAAACAAGTCAATAGGAGAAAAAGTAAGGTGGAATCACATATTTTCAATTAACGTTACTTGGAAAATATTTATACTCTTACATATCAGTTACTGAAGCTTTTAGATTATTACAAATAAAAGACAAATTTATTACTTAAAAGCCACCAATAATCATTCTTGAACTTGCATAAACAAACTCTTAAGTTTGAATGGATCCTCAAAATTTATGACAATGTCACCTTTATAAAAATTGATAATATTTGGGGCTGGGGTTGTGGCTCAGTGATAGAACGCTCGCCCAGCACGTTCGGGGCACTGGGTTCAATCCTCCACACCACATAAAAATAAAATAAAGGTACTGTGTGCAACCACAAGTAAAATAAAATATTAAAAAAATTGATAACATGGACTTTAAATCATTTTAGAGTGTCCTGAAAGATGGTATGAAAGTACATTAGCTTTTAGCACAGCAATGGTTCTACACCAAACTTTGCATCTATTGTAGGGCTATCATGCTCCCTTTCCCTAAATGAAAAATATGCAATACGGCCATTCATCTTCCTACCACTCCCTCAAAGCAAATAGTATCATAAGATTACCATTCACTGTAGTTTCCTCTTGGTGTTTAAACTTTGCAAAATATTTCCAAAAAAAGTGACTTAGCATTTTATACTAATAATGCCCAAAGCTGGCATTTAAATATGTTGCAGATGTGCCTTTAGCTGTAAGAGATTATTTGATGTCCACAGGGTATATAGAAACCCTATATGCTGCAATACTATTTTGTATTTTTCCTACTGAGATTAAAGCAAAAGTAGAATTTAAGAGGAAGATCTTGTTAAAGGTTAATCACAGATCTAAATGAATACCTGTTTTTTCAAAAGACATGATTTTCCTGACAGAAAAAGGTTTCTTAATTTAATGTTTTACATTCAAAACATGTCTTAAATTGTGAAGCTTGATTTTAAGATTTCATTCTTTAAGAAAAATATATAATTTTTCAAATTCAGAGAATGATTTCAGTATCTAAAGTAAGCAACTTTACTTCCAAAACTTATCTATTGTACACATATTGGAAAAATTGTCACAATGCCCTACTGGAACCAGAAAATGGACTACAAAGCTCACACATCTGTAAACCAGCTGAGGACTTGAAATACTTAATTTTCCTCTTTGATATTTGAAAGTTCATTGTATTTTGGCATTGGACAGTTAGTTGTCCTCACACAGAAGATAAACAAGTCCAAGAACCTGGATTTTGCCCAGGGTACAGTCTTAACACAATGTTAAAATAATTATGTGTCTTAAACATGTTATCTAGCAGTTCTGAGCACATATTCAACAGCATGCTGATTGTTATTCCCTTCTATGTTACTTTTATTCACTAAAAATATAATATGAAGAGAAAAATACATTTTAAATAAAGTACAAAGAAAATATTCACACTCATATTTAGAAGATAAAATATAATTTACCCGTTTTTTCCCTAGACTTATTGTTTGATCACTTAAAGGTGAGTGACATTTATTGATATGAAAGGAAAGAAATAATTTCAAATGATTCAAATAATTTAAAATGTTTTCTTACATTTTCTGTTGTCTCTGATTTATTTTTTAAATTATTTTATTTTTCAGTGCTAGGGATTAAATCCAGGGCCTTGCATATGCTAGGCAAGGTCTCTGATATTTTGTTTTAAAGTAATATTTTCAAGAAGAATCAAATGTTTGAAAGATGACTACTGCTTACGTTAGTAACAGCAATGAAATCTCAATAATCCATTCAGGCCGAAGAGTCATAGAAATAACAGGTTTTAATCTTGAATTTTCTTTGTAAGACAAAGAAGAATAAGCATATTCTAGAAAATTTCAGTGATTCAATTGGGGAAAGCTTTCTTGAATTCTCCCATAAACTCCTTCAGGTTTAAACTTTTCAAAATATTAGCAAGAAAAGTAACAAAACATTTTATACTAATAATGTTAAACAGTAGACATAAATGCAACATAAACACAGAATACAACAATTATAATATGGCATTTTGAAGTCAGCTTGACTTCAAAAAACAATATAACTATTTTGGGACAATGMGAACTTTCAAGTCTTTAATAATAATTATTTTTAAGTTTCAGTTTGAGGGGCTTTATATGTAATATTTATTGTTAAGACTGTATGCTTTTCAAAGATAAGATGAAGAGAAGGGTAACTTGTTAAGCTAAAAAGTGTGGGGTCAGAGAGAGAGACAGTACATATGAGTTAAAACCAGCAGTGTGATGAATATGGTGTGGTCTTGAAGAAGTTAGTACAATAAGGGCTGGGGATGTGGCTCAGTGGAAGAGTACTTGCCTAGTACATGAGACCCTGGATTTGATCCATATCACCATGCAAAAGAAAAAAGAGGGGGGCGGGTGGAAGAAAAGATATAATGAAATAATCTGAAACCTGACCATTGACTCAACCTTTTTACATAGATTAAATATGGGAAAAGGATAAGGGTAGAAATGGCTGACAAAGAGGGCAGATGTCACTAAGATGAAAAGGAGTGTGAGAAGGATGTTGGAGGCAAGAGGGAGCCAGAGAGTTAGTGCTAAGTGACTAGTCATAGACCTCGAGGCTGTGGGGCAAGGCCTCAGGTTGGTCTCATTTAAAGAGAAGCCGGGCTAATTTCAAGAGCCAGAATACAGGACAGAGAATCCCAACATCAAGTATATACACAGATGCTAATAAAACAAAACAGAACAAAACAAAACAAAACTGTGAATAAACTGCTGAAAGATAAGGAGAGGAGAGGGAGGAGAGCAGAGGGGAAGTGCTGGGGACTGAATTAGAGCAAATTATATTCCATGCTTTTGTGAATGTCAAAATGTAGTCTAATGTTCTATTAAAATATTTTATATGACCTCCACATAATATCTTTCTGCTCTCTTCCATCCACTATGATAGGAACACCAAATCTCCCAAATGATGACATTCGAACAGAGAGAACAATACGTGGTAAAAACATTCAGATGAACTCTGACAGTCATGCTCCAATTTGTACATGCTACATTACACATGGTGAAATGATTTGCAAACAGATACCAAGCACATTAATTAAGTGCTTTGTAAAAATAAATTTCTCACATTTTTCAACAAGGATTTTGAAAAAAACAGAAACAATTAAGTTGGAAAATGCCGTTTCTTTTCCTTTTTCAGTTTTATGGACATATGATTTAGAATTATGATCAAATCTTTGAAAACTATGAGAAAAGTTGTTGGCCCATCTCTAGATTAAAAACAAACTGAAATAAATTAGATTTTATGTTGAAAAAAGTAATCCAGCTCAACAACCTGTGTGCCAAGTTTCTCTCATATAATTTGAAACAGTCAAGCAATAAACTCTGAAAAAGGAATTTCTAATGGAAGCCTTAAAAACACTTGACTCCAGCTTTGCTACTGGGTGCCATAATAAATCCAGAAACTTAAAACCTCAGATACACTGGAGAAGGAACAACTTTCTGTAGAGCTATGTAATGTATAGTCTAATATGAAAGCTTAAGAAGCAAAAATCTTTGTTCCAGTGAAAGTTTCATATATTTCATTCCCCAGGCACTCAACTCCCCTCCTCCACCCCCATGAACATTTCATTCTTTGCTACAGGAAGGATTTTGAAACCTAAAAAAAAGGTCTCTTCTTCTTCTTTTTTTTTTTTTTTTTGAGACTAAAATGTTATAGCATTTAACACCATTTAGAAGAGAAAGCTCTACAACACAGAGGCTTGGCTATGAGATTCTGAGAACTAATTACGTCAAATATTTTATGAGGTAGAATGCAGAGAATCTTTTTTAAAAAAAGTTTTAAGTTGTTGATAGACTTTTATTTTATTTATTTATATGTGGTACCAAGAATTGAACCCAGTGCCTCACATATGCCAAGCAAGTGTACTACCACTGAGCTCCAGCCCCAGCCCACAGAGGATCTTTTTGAGTAATTGTTTTAGGCTGACCAAATCTGGGGAATAAAACTGAAAACAACCTTAGGGTTGAAAAAAAATAGTTTCCTTTTTTTTTTTTTCCTTTTTAAAACAAATCAGACTCCTGTTGAAAGAAATGTAGGCCATTCATAGTTCTTATTAGAGATACACAAGTAACAATTATTGTGTAGGGTACCACGTTTGAATTGAACTACAAAGAATGCTACTAAATGGAATGAATAAGATTCACTAAAATAGCCAAGCAAAAGTCTCTTTGAAAGGTAATGGTTTTGCTCAGAACTGCTACTTGAGATCATGGGGGAAAACAAGGATCTCTGATTTAAGGCGAATCCGGTTGCAAAGGTGTGTGGAAGCTGAAGTAGGAGCATCCCAAGTGTGGGGCCAGCTTGGGCAACTTAATGAGACCCTATCTCAAAATAAAAAGGGGTAGGGATGTAGCTCAGTGGCAGAGCATCTCTGGATTCAATTCCTAGTACTATGGTGGGTGGGGGAGGCGGAAAAACATTTCACTGAGGAAAAAAATTTGTGTATGTTTATTTGCCTCTGTATCACAACTTCCTGTGATGTTGGGTCAAAGCACAAATCAGAACTTTCTTATTTTCACCACCACTGGAAATGGAGGCACAGTAGTAGAGCTCTCTATATGCATATAATCACATTCACATGAAGAAAGATGGGGCTGGTTGGGGACAGGAGTAACCCAAATCCTGGCTCATCTTCTTAAAAGAACCATGTTTAGGATTACGTCTAATGAATTTTTAACTATAGATTTTACAGTAATAGGAAGGGGAATCTGGGACTTTAGTCAATATTCCATGAACCCCAATGGGAAGTGTAGATTTGCTGGCAATTAAATTACAAAAGTGAACTAAAGCTTTTGTATTGTTTTTAGTTTTTGATACAATCATGGCAGTCCTGGGCACTAACAAAGGCTGTTTCACAATTATCAGAAGGAATAATTGATTTGATATAGGTCTTTGATGAATACCAAATGTAAATAATGATTAAATTAAGAAATACAGATTACTGAGTAGGCAAAATGGTTCAAAAGCACAAGTTCCCTAAGGAGATAATGACTGTTAATTACAGAGTAGGGAACCATTCACCCATTTCAATCTATTCATTTTATAGTTTGGGTAGTTAACTGATGCTCAGAGAAGTAAAATTTGGCCAGAGTCCTTAAGTTATGAAGCCACCACTCAAATCTAGTTTTAAGGGTTAAATTCTTCCTATTCTTTTAACTTGTTTCCTTCTTCTAAGATGCTCTTAAGTGTATCTCTCCCTCCACTGTCATGTTTATGTTTATACACTAGATACGATTACTTGTGACGATTTCTGTGGTTCGTATAAAGTATTGGGAAAATATGTCAAGTGCTATCTAGAAAAATTTTAGATAATATTAATTTTAAGAAACATAGGAATAAAAGAAATGGTATGAGTGAAATAATTGTCACTGGACAAATTCTAAACTATGCAAAATGATAGTGAGAGCTTAGTGAATATATTATTTTTAAAAACGACAGATCATCTCCCTGTGTTCTAATGTTTGCATGGTTATTCCTGGCCCCAGTTATCCCACCATCAGAAAACCAGATGTGCCCTCTTAATTAGGGGGCTGGGCAATCAGGCAAATCCAAATTGAGGGGCATTCTGCAAACAACTGTCAATGGGCTGGAAAAAAAGCAGGGAACATTCTAAAATAAAGGAAACCTAAATACCATGACAATTAAATACAACACATAGCCTCTGACTGAATCCGAGATCAAAACAAAACAAAACCCATTAATAAAAAAAGTGCAGCAATAAATAGCATTATTGGAACAACTGGGGCAACTGTGTCATTCATGGTTAAATGTTTAGAGTGTCTATAATGTAGGAGGATGTCCTTGTTCCTTGAAGATATGTGTACAATGAAGAAACATAGGCACCTAATTATCAAATGGGAGAGGAGGAAGGGAGGAATAGAAGGAAAAAAAGGGGTAAGAGAAAGAGAGAAGTGCAGTGAAGGGGTGGAGGAAGGAGGGAGAGACGAGAGGAGAGAAAGAAGGGCTTGTGAGCAAGCCTGCATAATGCAGAGGCAGGCTGTGGAATATTCATAGATTGCTAAAAGGTGCAAGGTATGTGAATGCTCACTCTCTTATTTTCTCCACTTTTCTGTAGGTTTGCTGCTTTTCAAAATGATAATTTGGGGAGAAACTTAGAGTGCTAGGAAGTAATCCTGTATCTGTGCACAGGGGAAAAAGAGACAGCCCTTAAAGCCAAGATGTTTCTTATAACGCGCGGCTGCAAAAAGCCTCTCAATTCTAAGATTTGACAATCCGCTGTCTGCCAAAGAGAAGAGGGCAAGTCAGAGTGTTTGAAATATATATGGGTTAAATTTCCTCCACTGAGACATTATGGCACTTACATGATTTTTAATTAAGAAGGTAAACACCCTAACATTTATTTAAAAAAAAAAAACAACAACACTTAGCACACTTGTTAAGAGTATACATATTTTTGGAGTTGAAAAAGTCAATAAAAGGTAAAATCATTCTGATTTTAATGTTCATGTACATATGTTCACTGGTTACTGCTTTGCATTTAATTTAAGACAGCCTTTTTAATAAGCAGAAAATGTGCATTTTTATATTGTTTAAATTTTAATATGGATTTTTGTTCAAAACAACACAGACATTCAGGCTACTTGTAAATGATACAAGATTTTTTGCTAATGAGGCATTATGTAGAACATATGCAAAAATCACAACTCAGTCTTCCAAAATAGACCACAACAACAGGAAAAAACATGATTTTAATAAAAAGGAGCAGCACTGGGCTTTTACTTCAAAGCAATTAAAGGCTTTGGATAACCAAAAGTTTATGTCAAACTGATGCCAAACCAAACTGGTCTATTAAACACATACTATGAAGAGTTTCTGTAATATTCTATGAAAAGGCTCTCTGCCATAAATATCAAGCACTGCCATTCTGAAGATTACAACTATGTTAGGTTCATGTTTGAGAACAAGGGGTCCAACATCCAGATCAGACTTCTAGAATTTCAAATCTGAAATAATGTATCCGTGAAAGAGAAGTTTAAATATGTTTTCCATTTTGTGATTTTTCTCTACAGTAAATTATACCAAGTTTTATACTCTCCCTAAATTTTTTTCAACAGTTTTCCATTAGTCTCAAAAAATTGCTGTTATACATAAAATTTTGAGCTATGTGTAAACATATTTTTWAAAAATAGCCTTGAAAGTTCTTATTTTAACTTATTTCTTCAGTTTCAAAAACATTTCAAGAAACGATATGCTACTCACTATAGATACTCTTCCTTCTAAGGAAATGACATGTAAATTTTCACTTTTATAAATTCAGTAAGCTAGGGTAAAAACTGATTTATTTCCCTGACCTCTGCAACAAAAGTTACTTGGCCTGTAATACCAATTTTGTTTCCACTTATAATTCTTGGTATCACAGAAAAGACTGCTTATTTTGTTTATATGGATAACATAGGCCTCTGAGGAAGCCCTTCTTTTGTTTTTTAAGGTTAGCTCCTCTATAAGTACATGTTGGTACTCTTACTGGCAATATTTATAGTAGAAAAGCATGTGTCCTTGTCTATCACTCTCTTTCTGCTGCTGCTCTGACCCAGGATTGAAGGACTTTTGGATCTCCTTTTCAATTAACACTGAAAATCTAGCTCTGACGATCATATCCATCTGGAAAAAGGATCAGTTAACATAGTCCATCTGACTGTCTGGGAATATGAGAAAAATAACAAGGAAGGTACTCCCTGATAACCTTGCAATAATGGTTGAATACAGCAGATAAGGATGGGCCCCAAGCTTGAGCTTGGCTTATGTGAACTTTTGTATTTAGATAATGTCTGAATTATGGCTGTTAGCAATCACATTAAGATCATTACATTCAGTGAAGGGGTCTTGTCCTCTGTGGCACTGTACCTTATAAGGAACCATTTCTTGTTTTTTCCAAGAAGGTTGAATCTAAATCAGTTCCTCTTCCCAGGGAAACATGGGTCACACCTAGACAATCATGATTTAAAGTCAGGGTTCAAATTAAGTATAATGTAAACATGTCTAATTAAAATTTAAATGTTTACATTTAAATATAATTAAATATAATTCTCAAAAATATTCATGTTTCTTTTGCTGTGCATTTAGGAGGGTATATAATGTTACTAGTTATTAGGCTTTCTTATACAATTCAGTTTTACACATAAATATTAGAGGTTATGCTACTCTTCTAACTTTTCTTTCTTTCTTTTTTTTTTTTTTTTTTTTTGGTTCTGGGTATTTAACCCAGGGATGTTTTACCACTAAGTCATATCCCCACCCTTTTTTATTTTGAGACAAGGGCTGACTAAGTTGCTCAGGTCCTTACTAAGTTCTGAGGCTGGCCTTGAATGGAGGATCCCTCTGCTTCAGATTCTCTAGGAGCTGAGATTATAGGGTGTGCCACTGTGCCCAATTAAATCTTTTTTTTTTTAAATTTAATTTTTTTTAGTTGTAGTTGAACATAGCATCTTTATTTTATTTATTTATGTTTATGTGGTGCTGAGGATCAAACCCAGGGCCTTGCACATTCGAGGTGAGCGCTCTACCGCTGAGCCATAACCCTAGCCCATAAATCTTTTAAGTATAAAGCTTTTGATATATGTTTTAGCTCACTTTACATTTTTAAACAAGTTTGATGATATGCTTCTTTTCTTAGCTTCTTCATATGCTACCACGTAAGGTTAGTTTGTTAAAAGAGGGTAAACACTGAATATGAAACGAAACACTAGGAAATCTTTCTTTGTTTTTCTAAATAAGAATCCAGCCACATATGCATAACATCAGACACATTGGAAAGGGGGAAAGAAAAGTGGAACTCTGTCTGGTTTAAGAAAAAATGAGATTAATGAAATACAAAAGAGAGATAGCAACTAAATCCAAGGTGTAGACCTTATTTGGATTCCAATTCAAATGAACAGTACAAAGACATCTTTAGGAATGTTTGAATATAAACTGGTTATTAGATTATATGAAAGAATGGCAATTAATTTTGTCAGGTGTGACAGTGGCATGGTGATTATGTTTTAAAAAATTCCCTATCAGAAAGAGATACATACGAAAGTATCTGAGTGACATATCTGGCTGAGGCTAATTAATGGAGGAAAATAAAGGTGAAGGGGTTTATGTAATAGGATGGGTAACATGTTAATAATTGTTAAAGTTGAGTGATAGATTCAATATGCTACTATCTCTGATTTGGAGTATGCTTAGTCAAAACAATAAAAAATTAAAGGAAAAAAAAAGTCATAAAGGGAGAAAGATAATTCAAGAAAGAATGCGGTAAAAGGWTAAAGTCTTGTTGAAAGCACAATGTCCAAGCATAAACACTATACTTTATAAAATGTCCAAAATGCAGTGGTGGCAAAATGCCTCTAGGGCAACTACTGATGGGTCCCATCATCCTCCACAATAATCAACAGATCAACGCCAACTTTGGATTTGAGGAGAGGTAACATCTTTGAGATCACCAACTATAACCGTATTATCGAATTTACTACCTTTTAAGGTTGAAAAAAATCTTAAATGTGCTAGACTTGTATATAAGGTAAATCAACAGATAAAATCTTATACCCTGTACTTCTTTCAGTAGCTACAATGAAATGACATTAACTTCCTGAGATTTTAGCAAAGGAAGCAAAAAAACAGAGAACATATGACGAGGGCAGTTTCCACCAATCAGAACCTGTAAAGGGGCAGGTTAGGGAAAATAGCCCTTACATGAGAGTTGTTGATAGTAGTTAGTAGGTCTAAAGTAGGCCTATAGAAATAATGTTAAGTGAAAAATGATTTTTAAATAGTCTAGATAAATGTATCCTTTTACGGACATGATAAACTATTTTAAACTAACTCTGACCTTATCAAAATGGTATTTCTATTTTAACATACCTTTGATCTGTAGCTTGCTGCTCACGAAGCTGAAGAAGAGATAACTCAATTTCATTTTCTTTCCTCCTCAACTGAGTTTTTAGGATCTCAGCCAAATGCTCTAACTCTTCTATCTGGCCTCTTTGTGACTGAATAACATTTTCTCTGAAATAAAAAGCCTTCTAAGAATCTGTAGTTGAGGAAAATTTGTAGTATTTAAGATCAGTGCAAAGATATTTCTTCATAATAAAGAGCAAGCAAAAGTTAAAAAGTTTAGCTTAATTGCCTCTGCACACAGTGAAATAGTAGCAGATTGAATGTGATGATTTGGAAATACATATGGAACAATTCAAGATATTGCTTTTTAACAAGATAATAACGCAATGGATTGGACTTTGGTTTAATTCAATTCTATTGATCACCTGTTGTGTACTCTACAATCCGGTCTTCAGATAATTAATGTGCCTTTCTTCTTTCATATATACACATCTGCCTATATCACCCAAATTAACACTTCAGAGAGGATGGCGGGAAACTTGCCAAACATAACTTAGTGGTCTCTGGCATGCATTTATCTTTTTCTTCTGTGTCTGATGGTATCCTAGTGCAATGAGCCTCAGGAAATTGGTACGAACTCTGATTTCTCAGCTGATTATCAGGTAATAAATTATGTCAAATCTTTTATTTTCTTACAGGCTAATCATTACTATAACTGATATTTAAAATATTCAAAAGGAAACATTTTAAGCCCATATTATTCTTAAGCAACTGTCTAAACTATTTACTTTTTGTGTCATGTTCTCTTTCCTCATTTAGTGTTGTTTTGCTTTCATGATAATTCAGGTGAAAGTCTATAGGTAAACTAGAACCTTAGCTTCATTTGGTTAACTCAAAGACACTGAAACCATGAGGCTTTGATTAACTGGGAAAGAAACCTAAATGTTGGGGAAGTAACTTTTTTGAAACCATGATATGATGAAGAATGCAATACCATAGAATCATAGGGAAATAATATCTGAAATCCATATGTATCTGATAAGTTCAGACTTTTAAGCCACTCCTCCCAATTCCTTTTTATTTATTTTTTTAAACCACAAAAAGGGCTGATTCAGGATCTAAAAAAAAAAAAAAAAAAGAAAAGAAAAAAGTTACCTGTGATTTTCTGGGAATGAAAATGTTGCCTCTAAAGTTTATACTACTCTAAATGATTGGATGCCATGCCATTCCTTTGGGGGTAAAATTAGAATAAAGAAGACTATTTTATAAACCTTTTCATTGATGTAGTGGATAAGTTATTCATTCCCCTTATTTTACTGAAAACATGTCATGTAATACCTGTTATTACCCCTTAGAACTAGCTGTATTTTAGTGAAGCAAATTATTTAGACATACCCCATTTTTGTTTACAATAAAGGAAAGGAAGGGATCAAAATAAGACATGATCAATAAACAAAGTTCTAAAATAACCATGAAAAAGAATACATACAAATTTCTTATTTCTCCTCTGGCTTCTTCAAGTAAACTATTGCCATATTTTGTAAGCACAGGTTGTACAGTTTCTGCTACATCTACATCTTGGAGTCTTATACCTAAAAATATAGGAATAAAATATGATTATAGAAGGGAAGTTTAAAATCTCCTTTATTTGCTATCATAAGATATTTACAATATAATAAAATCTCTTGTTAAGTATTAAGACATATGTGCTCCATTGTATAGAGAATTAGAAATACAATGCCAAAGAGAATATTAGATCTCACCTGCAGTAGGTATTAAATAAAATAAAGCAGCAACTGTTGCCCATTTAACAAATAATACTATGAAAACCAAATTACCTAGGAATAATTTGATTTAGAACTCCTGCAATTTTTCTGAAAAAAATTTCTAGTCTTTACAATATAAACTAAAATTTGAGGGAAAAAGTTTTCAAAAACTTAACTTTTTGTGTGTTAATGATTTTTTAAAATTTTTAAATCATTCCAATTTGTTGACCCTAAGTCAGCGTGTTGCCTATTCTTTGTTATTCTACCTAAATAAGAAAATTCATATTTTAGGAAAGATGATTTGAGACTAGATTGACAGTATTTCTTTAATAAGACATTTCCCTCTTGCATTTAAATTACAATTTTAAAAATTATAACTTAATAAAAATAGTTATATATGCTGGCTCAGCTACTTGGGGGGCTGAGGCAGGAGGATCATTTGACACTGGGAGTTCAAGGCCAGCCTGGGCAACACGAGTGAGACCCTGTTTCTTAAAAAGTTATATGCAATTTTACAAGGATATTCCCATTATTAAAAATGAGACATGCTTTCAGTTATATTACTTTACATTTATGGAATAATTAAACTATTAAAGTTTAAGGTAAAGGATGACAAATGATAGAGATTTTTAAATTGAGCATAGTCTCAGATATAAAACTCTTTACTTTAGAAAAGTTTACTTTCAAAAAAAGTGAATGTTATTTTATTATTTAAGTTGATAGATAAAATTGTATTTGCCATCTGCATGATGTTTTAATGTACATACACATTGTTATAAATTAGAACTGTAATTAGAATAATAAAACTATTTCTTGCTCTTTCCAATATGTTCAATATCTATTGCTGTACTAGCTTAAAGAATAAAAAAGGTGGAGCTGGGGTTGTGGCTCAGTGGTGGAATGCTTGCCTAGCATGTAGGAGGGTTCAATTCTCAGCATCCCATATAAATAAATGAAAAAAATAAAGGCCCATATGTCTCAAAAAATAATTAAAAAAAAAGAACAGAAAAGGCTCTGCCTAACACATTCAAATATTTTAGTATGATGGAATTTGCCAGTTACATTATTTTGGCAATAATCCTAATTTTTAAGCTTTTCCTACATCAATCAAGGGAAAATTCAACATTAGCAGCATGGTTTAAAAAAATACTCAAAATATCTCTTAAAATTAACAGTTTCATGGTGATTTGCTAATAGTTATATTTTAAAACACATAAACTTTACAAATTTTTGTTCCACTCATTGTTCACAACAAGAATTGTGTTTGCATAGTATCAACCACAATCAAGCCAGTGTTTTTCATCCATTATCCCAAAGCAAAATAGAAAATGACAGTTATTTGCACAGCAGTTTGAGGGTAAAGGCTTCCCATGGCTAGAGAGGGTTTGGGTTCTGGTCTAGTCCCTGAACGTTGAGATATTCCTGACAAGTCTGGCCTTAATCCCAGCCTCAGAGGCAGTCCTCAAAGGCAGAGCTGAGGTATCAACTTTGGTAATGATGCCCCCCAGCTTTACTCAGAAAAATAGTGATTAAGAAAGTATTCATCACTAATGTTTTGTGCAACTTCCCTGTTCTGGACTCTATGTTTAGTAAAAAAAAAAGGTCTGGGTCATTAAAAGTGTACAATCATAAAGAGAAATTTAAGCTTTGTAGTCAAACTTCCATGAATGTTTTTGTTTTTTGGCAGTGTCTGGCAAATGCTCCACCATTGAGCTACATCCCAAGCCCCTCTATTGATTGATCTTTTCTATTTAAATAATAATTCATATACTAGATCAGCTTGTCGTTTTAGTCTAAAAAGTATTTTTATTTGCTATGTAAAGTAAACTAAATTTCAGACATTATTTTTATTTCGTACAAAAGACCTCGCAGACCAAAGATATCATCTTGACCACTTATATTCTGACTAAATTAGAGAATAAGTGACTTTTTAAAGTTAAAATAATTTATTGTAGACCTACAAAAGCTTCACCTCTTATCTAATCTGGTATTATTATCATTCCGTTTTATAGATGGGAAAAATGAGGCTGGAGGTCAGCTGTTCTCTTCCATATAAAAAAAGGTAATTAATGACAGTATGTATTTTCTGATTTATAATTCATTATGCTTACTTTGGTTATATTCAAAGTTGACCGCAATCTCACATAGCTAGGAACAGCCAACCCCTTTCATCCTGCAGCTGCCTCCTGCCTGTGTGATGGCCTTACTGACTTCAAAGGAATTCTATCTATGGAACAGAGAGTGTTAACATTTTGGTTTGGAGAGAAAGCTACAACAATTTTTTCTCCCCTTATGTTCATATGTTTTTTTCCTTCCTCAATGAATTGAAAGTACAGTTTTGCATGATTTTTAAATTCCTGAAGGTGTTTGATCTTTATGTGAAGCATATTCCAAACAAAAATCAATTATCTCCTTCTCCAGTAGATGAAATTTTAAAAAGTTACTTAAGGGCTGAGGATGTAATTCAATGGTAGAATGCTTGCCTAGCATGTGAAAAGCCCTAGGTTCAATCAATCCCTAGTACCACCAAAACAAACAAACAAACAAACAAACAAAAAAAAAAAAAAAAGTTTATTTATTTTTAGTTCTGTTATAATAAGGTTTGTCTGTGGATAGAGAGAATTGGGAATTTTTATTAGAAATATTTAAATTTATACTGAGTCCTATCTTGGCAATTCAATTGCTTTGTAATATGGGTAAATTTTAGGTTATTCATTTTTAAAATGAAGAAAACAATTGACCTGTGATTATTTTTACAGATGGAAAAGACTTTTATAAAGGTCACTTGGAGATTTTTGGGAAGTATTAGGGATTGAACCTACAGCTCATCCATGTTAGGCAAGCACTCTACCACTAAGCTATATCCCCAGCCCACTTCAATACTTTTTATTTTATATGTAAAGAAAACTCAAGTTTATAATGATTAGGAGAGTTTTTTAAGGTGATCAGCTAGTAAGTGGAGGAGAAAGAACCCAACTTTTTAAATTCTTAGTTATACACATAGTCCACTGTCACACTGCTTCCACAAAACAAGAAAGATTTCAATACTTCTTGGTACTGGGTACTGAATCCAGGATGCCCTATCACTGAGCTGCAGCCCTAGAATTTTTATTTTTTTCTTTTTAGACAGGGTCTGGCTAGGCTGACCTCAAACTTGGAATCCTTCTGCTTCAGCCTTCTGAGTAGCTGGGATTACAGGTGTGTACTCACCACACTTGGCCACTTTTGCAAATTTTATAAAAGGTTTTGGATGAAAAAGTTTAATGTGATCATTCAAAAAAATGTGGCCACATATAAGCAAACTAGCTGATTTCCCCCACTTGTCTGAGTTAATGTGATTTCTATATTTTTTTAATATTTTATTTTTTAGTTGTAGTTGGACACAATACCTTTATTTTATTTATTTATTTTTATGTGGTGCTGAGGATCGAATCCAGGGCCTTGTATATGCTAGATGAGYGCTCAACCACTGAGCCACAACCCCAGCCGGATTTCTATTCTTAATATAAAAAATCAACTAAAAAGAACCAACTCTTAAATAAAATGATCTTCATGACAATATTATGATTTTATCAAAGAGCAAGCTCAAAACTAATTTTCTATCTCTTTTGATACTTAAAACATGTAAAATATAGAAATAAAACTTTTTGTGTCTGTATGAAAGAATCTATTATAGGACTTAAATTTAGGGTTTGCTGAAACTCTCCATTTACCTTTCCTGGAGCACTCCTGTAAGCCTGCATTTTCGTTTGCTTTTCTACGCCCAGTGTTAACACGAGACTGTACATAATTGTATGGCCTGTAACCTTGGATTTGAAGGTGCTGTTTGGCTGAAATTAGTCTGTTTTTGAGGACTTCATTTTGTCTTTCAAGCTCATGAACTTTCTCTTGCAGCTGCTCAATCATTTCTTCCATCTCCACATCTCGTCCCAGCCGCTTGGGGCCGCCACCAACCCGCTCATATCTTTTCTTGTCATTAACTAGCCGTATTAACTTGGTGGCCATTCTAGGGAAATAATAAAAAGATGAAAAGGAATGTGAGAAGTCAGCATAAAATGCATTCTGTTGAAAGGAACATAATCACTGTGAAGACTTCAGTGCAGAACCTGAATAATAAATTTCAGGTTTTGATGTAACTATTACTGCCTGTGAAGAATCCTTTGATGATAATTGAAACCACTGGGCAACAATCTGCTTTATAGCACTGACAAATAACAGTTTCCTAAGGCTTATCATTTAAGGTTAGTAAAGAAAGGACACATATTTACTCCATATGTTCCTGAAATGCAATTTTTAACGCATGACCTTATATAGGAATGCTGTATGCACTTAAATGTAGTTACAGATTGTGGATATGGTGGGTTATATCTGCAATCCACAGTAAGTTAAAACTTTTGAAAAGTGTGTTAAGACTATGCAACATTTTGGTAATATACTGTTTTCAGTTTCTATAGGATTAAGATATATTATAAATATAAAAATGTTAGAATGCATAGATGCACACATATAAAGCTTTCAAAAGAAACCAAAATGCACCTTTAAATCTTGCTTAGTCCTCAAGAAACACTTGAGTTTAATGGTTGAAAATAGTGAGATGTAAAAAGTATCATTTTAATGTCACTTTTAAATTTAGAATTAAATTGTACTTTGACATCTCAGGAGTTTATACCTTTGATTCTTTTAAGTTTTGATAAAAACTGGTTAGACAGAACAAAAGACAGAAAGGGCACATGGGGGTGATGTAATATACACGTACGGAAAACATGCCTGACAGTGAATGGAAAAATCTTGGCAGGACAAGAAAGAAAAGGTGGCTTTGATGAGACACACAAGTTCAAGACTTTACAAAATTGGTCGCACATCTTCAATAGCTGATTCTAGTTTATAGTGAATCTATTTTTATAAAGGCCCAGACAGGAGATTGAAAATAAAAACACACTTCATTTTTCTTTAAATGGGGTTTGCTTTATTTTAGCATGGTTATGGACAGAAGCTTTTACTTAAGAGAACAAAAGTGAAATAAAAAAAATCCTTAATAGCTTTGGGATGTCACAGAACAACCTTTTTTTTTTTTTGCCCTAAGCAGAGTCCTCTGTAAATCGGTAGTAATACATGTCTATCTACACTTCTGGTAACTYGGCCTGCAGCATGTGGCATCAGGGAGAGCTATGCATAACATAATCAGTTAAGATTGTTTTCTTTTTCCCTTGAGGCACATCCATTAAGCATGCTTTATAAGGGATATAGGATAATAAAAACCAAGAACCAAGAGTACCACAAACATCCTAGTAAAATAATCAATGGATTAGTTCCTTTTCCACCTAATCCAGAGAATGATATATCATTGGAAAATCTGGCCAGGTATTCTAGTCCATCAAAGCCACCTTCTATCTTGCCCTTTAATATTAGAGTTCAGGGTGCTAAGCTCCACCCAATGTCCTATCCATAAAAATAAGGTAGTTATCCAAATGAGATGTCAATCTAAATCCATGAGTCTACTGTAATACAGATTGTTACACAGAGATACAGATTATGGTCAAAAGAAGAGATCAGATTTAACATGAAAAAGCACTCAATATCCAAAGAAATGACCTTAATTTTTAAGGCAAGAGAAGCACATTAAAAGTGTCTTTCCATTTTTTATGCTGACCTTCAAGCAAACTTTATTAGGAAGCATAATTTTTTGTGTGTCCAGTAATAGAAATACTTTTCATGTGATTTGATTATTTTACGACATTGATGAATCTTAAGTAATCTGGTAAAGTTCGAGTACTTATTTAAAAAGGTGGTTTTTAAAATATCTATATTTATGCAAAAGAAAGAGATACTAATCTAAGGATAAGTTTAAACATGATTCTACCTATGTATTTAAGTCACTGTCAGGGGTCTAAGACTGAGAAGAAATTTCGAGTTTTGGGTCAAAGAGTTAATGGGATCACTACTCTTATAGCTGAGTTAAATAAAGTCCCTGGAGGTTAAATGGCTTGAACATACCATAGGCTAGTGGCAGAGAGATAATGGAACACACATATACAACTTGACTCCTAGAGTAGTCCTTTTCCCATGAAACTACATGGCTCATTATTAAGTTATTTTTTATTTTCTGGGTAGGACAAATTATTAACGAAGTCAAGATTGTGAATTCAATTTTTTTTTTAACTGCCCAATTAGGCTTACAAAGAGAAAAAAAATAGTTAGTGGTCACAAACTATATGCCTCATTCTGCTTGGCTGACATGGATGTTACTGGACAGAAAGGTGTTCAGGCAAACTTTGAGAACTTTTTGAGATTATTAGTCAAAAACCAACTCCAAGTAAAAGGCAGGGCAGTGGGTTGCTAAAACAAAAGCCACAGAGTACAAAGTGAACTGGAGTCACTTCTTCAGGATGAATTCTAATCCCTATCTTCTTTCTTCAATGGCTTTCTCACCTTTCCTTTGAACCTAGATCATAAATATGAATAAGACTTGCTCATGCTTACAAATGTGAATGTACTTTTTTATTTTTAATGTCATACATTCAGTAGATAGGCACAGTATTTCTGAATAAGAAAGAATTAAAAAATATCTATTCTTAAGACATCAGTCTTACATAAACTTTTTGCACATAAATAAAAAGTGATAATATTTTTTCAGCACACAGTGGAGATCCTTGAAAATATAGACTAACCTAAGCTAATTTAAACATGTTCTAGAGAGACTGAAGTGATGTTTTCATTAATAAACCCCACAAATCTTAAAGGAACATGTATTCTAACGAGTTGTAATAGTTAATTATTTTTTAAAACTTTTATTTTAAAATGATGACATTTTAAAAAACAAATGCTCTGGCCATTTGCTTATTAAACTATAAATATTAAACCAAATGTTATTTATAGATATGATATACTCATGGCACTCTTAGCTATTAGCTTGCTCTCTTCATTCAAATAGCAAGTTCTGACATAATAAACACAATCTTTTTGGCTTATTATTCTGGTTTGTAAGATTTTCCATTTTTAAAAATTCTATTTATTTACAACATGCCTGTTCCAAAAGAGATTGAAGGTGGGGTTTTCAATTAAGTTTATAAAAAAGCATATCCTCCAAACTTTACAGAGTCAAGAAAAAAAAGCTAAAAGCTTTTTATCATAACCTTTTAATTTTATCTTCTTGCTTACGGGCATGCTGTTTAAGTAAAATGTTCTCATCATGCAAACGCAAAAATCTGTCTTCCAGTTCTTCACGACTGACACGTGATATTGCTTGGCGAGACTTCATTGTCCGTGTTGTTGAAGTTTCTGCAAAAATGCCAAGGTAATTAATTATAGGATTACTTAACATAGTCTTTAAAAATGATAACTATTGGTATTAAAATAATCTCTGATGAATTCAGATTTTTCCTTTGTGATCTACAAGGAAGATTTTTTTAGAAATATTATATAGCAACTGTTTACAATAATGAAGAGTGAGAGTAAGAATCTTGTGATTAGTACTTTATATCTAGTATTAGGGATTTTGGCAAAAATAGCATTTATTAAAAAATATATTCAAATAATCATTCTTTCAGACTATAAGATGGAACTCAGATTCAATAGGCTTTTCAATTTATATGCTGAATGCTGTAAGAATCAAATCAGAAAAGTCAAAGAGTGCCTGGRTTGCAGGAGTAATTCAGTGGTAGAGCATTTGTTTAGCAAACGTGAGTCCTAGAGTTCTATCTCTAGTGACAAGGGTGCATGCACAAACATGTTAGAGTATCTGAAAGTATTTATATATATATTTTTTACAAAGGCAAGAGTTAGAATAATTTAGTGAACACAATGATTAAAACTTTTTTTGAGTCATGGGTGTTAAGCTATAAAAAACAAACTGTAATACAAGACCAACCCCTCCCCTTAAAACCCCTAAAATTTAAAAATTTGTCATTGGAAAGCTTCACAGATCATTTCTCTCCAAGCTATTTTTAAAAAATATTTATTTTTTTAGTTATAGGTGGACACAATATCTCTGTATTTTCATGTGGGGCTGAGGATCGAACCCAGTGCCTCATGCATGCGAGGCGAGTGCTCTCCCTCTGAGCCACAATCCCAGCCCCTTTCCAAGCTATTTTAATAGATAGAACTTTCATACACTTTGAGCATGCATATATCTTTTCACATGTTTAAATTTGGTACTTTCCATATCTTTGTGAAATACATCAATTTTCCATAATTGTTCAAAAAAACAAAGAAAAATCTGACAGAGATTAAAGTCTGATGGTGGTAATGGAGGACAAGAACTGAACTTCAACAGTATGAAAATCCAATAAATAGCTTTGCAGTCTTAAAATTTATTTGTATTTGAATACCTGATACTCCCTGAAAGATCTAAAGCATAACTTACATACTATTCACTTTTAACAATAAAGTACACTATATGTATTTTAATTTACTAAAAAATTTATCTCTTTTTAGTAAACAATACATTAACTATCTTTCTCAGATAGTTAAAAGTAGTCATTTACACTCTTCTGATTAGATGGTACATGAGGATTCCTTAGTGGAATATGTTTTAAATTCCTAGGTTTTCCAATAGTAAATGTAGTGTCGCCAGAGAGTATGGCTAACACATTATTTGTACACACAAATATAAACATTGCTTTCTATTTTAAATTGTTCTTTAAAGCAGTGTTTTCTTCCTCAATTTGAAAGTGCTCTTTAACTCTATAGCAACAATTAAGTGATAAAAGGATAAAAAAAACCCTTTAATGTATATTAATTTGATAAAAAAAACTCACTATCACTTGCATAAACAAGCCATTTTGAGATACTCTACTTGAAAGGCAAAAATTTTTAAATATGGCATTTCCTCTTGTATAAAACTTAAACATAAAGAAATGTTTTAATGGTGAATGTGATTTAAACCAGGCAATTTGGTTTGGAGGCATGATACTCTCTATGTAGTTTCTACTGATGTGTAGAATTTTAAAAAGATGATTTATAACAATTCTTTATCAGAATAGAGGGGGATCTTGCATTTGCTATGAGCTGTTGATAATTGATGCGTGCAGTAAAATACCATATGTGTTCCAAACTCTCCATCTTGTTTAGTCCAATCAAGAGCTATATAGTTACTTAAATGGTTTGGTTTGTATGAATATCAGAAATACTTTAAATTAAAAGTAAAGAAATCACTGATCAAAGTTCATAACTGTAATAAATAACAGCTGGCCATACCTTGTAACCCTCCTGCTCCAAAGAGGTTTAGACCTATATCTTTCACAGGCAGGTCTCCTGCAGTCTCATCAGTTGGACCAGACATGGCCTATCTGTGGAGAAACGAAAATTCAAATAAACTCTTCCCAAGTTATTACATTAAGCATGCAATGGAATGAACCAAATAAAACGAATAAGGGACCAGAACTTTAATGGACATCTTATTGCCCACATGTGCTGCTTGAAGAAGATAAAAGCTTCTATTCTAAAAGTAATACTACATTCAATCATGGAGACAGTGTTTCTTTCAACAGTATATTTCCTATAGTTTGCTTAGGAAATGAGGTAAGATTATCATTCTTCCTTTTCTCTTTTTTCTTCTATGTGAAAAAATATTAAACTTCCAAATATAAGAAATATTTCCTTTCTAGCTCCCTTCTTCTCCACAAAAATATTGTGGAAAAATATCCTGGAAAAATATTGAATCAGGAACTTAATCCAAATGGTTGTTCTATTATTTAACTGCTCATCAAACCATGCAACCTATTTGAGTTTCAATCCCTTATTTAAAAAATGAAGTAAATAATACCTCAAAGTTATTGTAAAAATAAGTGAGATGATAAATTGAAAGCATTTAGCCCATGTGCTTGGGATGTCAATGATACTGGAATACTAATTTTTTGCTTGATGCACAGATGAATGGGGAGTTTCAAGTTTGGTGAAAATGGTTTCAAAAATTCATCAGTTGGTATTGCTTTTGTTACATCCTGCCTTTATCTCAAGACAAAGGTTGCAGGGATTAGCTATCACAACATATATAGGCTATCCAGCTAATTTTAGTATTTACAGTTCGTATTCTTTACAGACATTCGCCACAGCAACTTTATTTTGTACCTGGATATGAATGGTCCATAAAATGTATAGTATGCAAAAAGGGGGAAAATAGGATTTTATATTTTCATTTTGATGTACCTGAGAAGTTAAATGCAAACTGCTAATGAAGATACCTTAAGGCAGAGGTTTTCAAGTTCTATAATGTTAAGACTAATGTAGCAAGCTAATTTGTCTTGTTCACTTCTTTATTCTTAGAGGCTGGCATAGAGCTTAGTACATTCAGAGAGCAGGCATTCACTGGATAGTTGTTTGAATGAATGAATGAATGAAGTTCATGGAGCTTTCAGGGTCCAAAAACTGAGATATGTTTTTGCAAATTTTGTATGTATATGTGTGGATGCAATATGCTTTAGGGAGTGGATTCATAATTTTCATTGTAACTCCAAAAAGTTGAGAACCACTGCAGTTTTGTGGGACAGAAACAGGTAATGGATGAATGCCTGGGAGATCAACTACTTCTTTTAGAAACTTTGCTACAGAAAATGTCATTTTTAGGACTTAAATTATTAAGATTTTAAATCACAGGCCACCCATGAAACTTGACTACTTTTCCATGATAGAGTAAAGGCTAATTTTATAGGACTACTGATGAAGGTGATGATGGTGTTCACATTTACTGAATGCTCACACTGTTTAGGACATGCACTGTTTTCTGTTTAATTAACTCACTATTTTGAATTAATTAAATTACCCACAATATCTTTGTGATACTGTTACTCAAATGAGTCCTGCTTTACAAATGAGGAAGCTGAGATAGATCAGGTAACTTGTCTAACATCACTAATCTAGGAAGTAGTTGTCTGGTGATATTTTGGGTTGTCACAACTGGGAAGGGGAGGTGTACTGGACTGTAGTGGGATAGATGTCAGGGATGAGAATAAACATCTTGTGGTGCATAGCATCCATGATAATCCCATCCAAAATGTTAATAGAGCAGACGTCGAGAAACCCTGCATGTTGTGGGAACACCTTTACAACAGCTCCCACTCTACCTTCTTGCTCACTCCACTCCACTTCACTTACATTGCCCTCTACTTTCCACAAGCCCACCATACCCTAGTGTTGTTCAAAGCCTTTGCATTGGCTGGCTCCTTTGGAGTTGAGCTTAGATATAAAGCTTTCCCTGACCATCCTATGTTAGAGTAGTCGTCTTCCCAATTTCTTCCGGGTTTATTTCTTTTATAGCAATAGCCTTTATCTGAAAAATATCTCGTTTGTTTACTAGTTTATCGTGTCCCCTAATTAAGTATAAACATCTTCTGGTGTGCATTGGGGTTCATAGTATGGAAGTGTCTTGTCCTACGGTGGGCGCTAAAGTTTGTATTTACTGAATGCATAAATGAATATCAGCCACTGAGACCAAAATGGTAAACAAAGTCCTTGCCTTTACGGCATTAACGGGTTATAGAAGTAGTGAGACAATAAACAAGTAATAAAGTAATAGTAGGGCACTCACTCAAGGTGTTTAGGGTCCACCAAGCAATTCTGAACACAGGATAAGTGAGTGAAGTGTGTATGTGACCTTCTACTTGAAGGATGTGGATAGGGACCGCAACTCTCATTAGGTAGGCTTTAGAGCTGGGATACAAAATTTCGGACCACTCCTGGGCGTGGGGATAAAGGGCGGGTTGTGATGCAGGCCTGAGTCTGTGGAGGTGTCTCGGCGGGGCTGCTTTTCACGCAAGATCTCCAGGGTCTTCTCCAGACCGCAAAGCATACCCCAGAACCCTGGCCGGTGTTGCAGCGTTAGGGTCCGCTAGCCTCGTCCACCCCCGACACCCCCCAGAGTACTCACCACCACTGTCGCCCGGCCGATAGCTACCGTTGCTATGGCGCCGACAGCTTGTCGGGAGGCCGGCCGAGAGGAGCACGGGAAAAACATGGCAGGCCCCGTTGCCCCCTGGGAAATGTAGTTCTTCGCGGTCTCCAGGCCTCCTGTTTGCTGCGTAGCGGACTACCCTGGGTCCGCTGTCGGACCGGGGAAATTCTGCTCTGAAGCCCGAGGCGCTCGCGGGCGTCGCGCGGTGCATCCTGGGAGTGGTAGTTCTCAAGGTTCTGAGGGCGCATGCCGCTGGATAGAAGCAGAACGCCGAGAGAACTACACGCAGGAGGCGGGGCCCAGGGCCAGGCATTTACGCGGCTCGAGGTGGCGAAGGCGGCTTTAGTGGCAACATGAAGCGCACACAGACCGCGGAGGAACGAGAGCGCGAAGCTAAGGTACGTCGGCCTTCCCTAGGTCTGGGATTCTTGCTCCGCTGGGAGCTAGAGGCAGGGAACCGGAAGGGCTTGCTTTGATGATGAGCGGATGCACGGTGTTAAACTAAGGGATGACAGGGCCTTGTCTGCAAGGATCCTGGAGACTTGGGCTGCGTGTGCGTGTGTGTGCGTGTGCGCGCGCGCGTGTGTTGTATATTCGTGTTGCTTAGGATGCAGGCCGAGTCCCGTTGGACCAGCTCAGGAATGAGAATCGAGACACCCAGTCCCTTGTTCTATTTCTGCACCTATTCTGTGGTTAAATTTGTAGCCGCCCTTGTGCCTCAGTTTCCTGGACTCCCAGATGACTGTGATCATCACACCAGCTGTGCTTTCTCATTCCATCATGGTCTCTGAGGACTGAGAGCTGGATGAAATATCGTGCGGTCAGATGTGTTTATTTGGAACAGTTGTCTCAGTGGACAGCTGATACAGCCTGTGCCTTCAGCACTGTGGTATGAATCTTTGACCACATTCTTATTCACTACCTTTGTTGAACAGGTTCTGGTAGTTGCTATTCCATGGGATGACAACAACAATAATAAAAGCGATAGAGACCTATGTATTTATTTACTTACTTTCAGCATTTATTGTGTGTCCGGCACCTGTGTTTGGTGCACATTTGTATTATTTCATATTCTTATCACAACAGATTACAAGATAGATATGATACAGATGGCTTATCAACAGTCCTGTTTCGAAAATGAAAACTTGAGACTCAGAAGAAGAATCCCCCCCCCGCCCCCCAGTTGGGTTCTACTGATTTCTGTGAACATATTGGGAACCTACCTGTCTACTTTTTCCACCTCCACTACCTTGCATCGGATTACCATTATATCTTTAATGAACTGTTGGAACAGCCTCCTCTTAGACTGTATACTCTAACTTAATACTCTGTTTCCCTGTCCCCCAATAATTAGTTCTTTCATACTGTAGAGAGTTGAGTTTTTTTTCCCCCCAAATTCAAATCTAATTATGTCCCTTTCCTCATTATTTAGTCTGCCAACCACCTGTTTAAAAATTACCATGTCCTTCTGTTGCTCTTTGGATAAGAACAAAACTTCACATAATCTAAAAGAATCCTGCATGGTCTGGGTCTTATCCACAACTTCCTTGGGCATAACTCTTTGCTCTCTGTCTATCAGACACTTTGGCCTTCTTGAAAGTCCCTCTTCCTGTAGTTCATCTTCTTACAGGGTCTTTGCACATGCTTTTGGGTGCTTGCTCTGTGATAGGCAAATATTGGCAGTGAGCATCAGTGGTAAATAAAGCAGGTACAGTTCTTGCTTTCATGGAATTTAGTCTGACAGTTGAATCTGTCTTAGGGCAGTACACCTGAGGATTTAAAACATCAAATCTGGTCTATAATGACCTGAATTACAGTAACATTTCATAAGAGACCTAAAGTTTCTATACTCGAGTTTCCATATGATAGAGTTAATATACTAAAGATGGCAAAAAGGGGGGAGACCTTTCTGTATTAGTCTTCAAAGTTGAAGGAAACAAATGTTATATATTGGCATGATGCACTTTCTCACCTTTCAGGTTGATTTTTTTTCTTTTTTTTTGGTACCAGAGATTGAAATTAGGAGCTCTTAACCACTGAGTTACATTCCCTAGCCCTTTTTTATTTTTTATTTTGAGACAGAGTCTTGATAAGTTGTTTAGGGTCTCGATAAATTGTTGAGCCTGGCTTTGAACTTGCTATCCTTTTGCCTCAGGTCACAGGGATTACAGGTATGTGCTACTATGCCCAGCTCAGGTTGAATTTTAAAGTTATTCATGTATTCTGTGAAGACTGATTGAGCATCTATGAATTGCTATACACTGGGATTATAATTTTGGCTAAGGTAGACTTCCTAGTCCAAAAGAAGCCTTACTCTATTGAAACTATGACCATTGCCTGTAAGGTAGTTGTTCATGTTATCCCTATTTTACAGGTGTGGGAACTGAGGCTTGTAGAAGTTGTGACTTGCTCAGGGCAACTTGGTTGCTAGGGTATGTAGGAAACACAAATTGTTCTTTTGACTTCAGCTTCAAAACTTTTCCCCATTTTCTCCTTGGAAACATGGTGAATTGATAGAGCAAGTTTTCTTTCTATTGCCTTTTAAAAAATTCTTTTATTTTTACTTAAAAATTGTTTGCTCATGAAAATTAGTTCTCTTTAAATATAGGAAGTTGTTTTAAACCTTAAATAGAAAATGTCCAATTACTCATTCTCTTTTCTACTCTTTCCTACTTTTTAACTTTGTTGAGGCATAATTTATGCACAGTAATTTAAAAACCATTTATCATGTACCATTTGAGTTTTGACAGATGTATACACATGCAAAACTAGCACAGTTGGCATTAAGAACATTTCTATCCCTTCTAAAAATTTCCCCTTACTATTTGCAGCCAATTTCTTCATCTACTTTGGCCCTTAGTCAACCAGTAACATCTTTTATGTCATTATATAAGAGTCTATATTTTCTAGAATCTCATATAAATGGAAGCATACAGATATTCTCTTGGGTCTTTTTTTATTCAGCATAATGACTTTGGAGATTGATCCATGTTACTGTGTCTACCAGTAGTTTATTCCTTTACATTGCTGAGTAATACGCTACTATGTAGATGTATCAAAATTGTTTATTCATTTACCTTTGCTGGACATTTGGATTATTTCTAGTTTTGGGTTATTATGAAAAAATTGCTATAAAATATATATAAATCTTTTTTATTTCATTTATATCCCTAGGCAACCACCTTTGTTCTCTAGATTTGCCTTTTTTTGGACTTTTTTGTATAAATGGAATTATATTCCAAGTGATCTTTTGTGTTTGGCTCGTTTTATCCAGAATAATGTGTTTGAGGTTTATCTACATTGTAGCACATATCAATGCTTCATTCCTTTTAATTACCCAGTAAATAGCATTCATATATCTAAATATATCAAATTTTGTTTATTTGTTTATCAGTTGATACACATTGAACTGCTTCAAATTTTGGCTATTATGAAAAATGCTATCATGAACAATTACATCCTAGTTTATGTGTGGACGTATATTTTCATTCTTCATAGGTAGAAAACTAGAAGTGGAATTGCTAGTCATAATGTAAATAAATGTGTTTTAACATTTTAAGAAACTGTTAGACTATTTTCCAGCTTGGTTCTATTTTACATTCCCATCACCAATTTTGAGTTACAATTTCTCTGTCCTTGACAACACTTATTATTGTCTGTCTTTTTACTGAAGCAATGATAGTGATTGTGAAGTGGTATCTCATCGTGGCATTGATTTGCATTTCTGATGGCTAAAAATGTGGAGCATCTTCTCATGTGCTTACTGATCACATGTCTATCTTCCTTTGGAAAGTGTCTATTCAAAATCTTTGTGCATTTTTTTTTTTTTTTGGCAGATTGTCTGTGTTCTTGTTAAGTTTTGGGAGTTCTTTATATTTTCTAGATACAAGTCCTGACAAGGTATAAGTTTTGCAAACATTATCTGCCATTCTTTGAGTTTACTTAATGTTTTTTAATAAAGAGAGATTTATCAATATTTCTTTTTATGATTCATCCTTTTTGTGTAATATCTATGAAAGCTTTATTCCAGAGTTACAAAGATGTCATTTTTGCTTTTTAAATTAAACTTTGTCATTCCCATAATGGGTAATTACTTTTGGCACTCCTTTTCTCTTTGAAATAATGTAGATTGTATTTTCTTCTTTGTGATTGCTTATGCTGTAGACTTTTATGCAGTTTTCAAGTCTGGAGGGTGATTGAAGAAAGTTGGACTAAATAGGTAACTTTCCATGATAACATTACTTAATTTGTCTTAAAGCCTAAGAGCATGCATTTTTAAAAATAATTTTTCTTGTAAAGCATATAGCAGAATAGTCCAGATTAGTATTGATGGCCTGAGTTAGACTGTGGTTTCTATTGTTTGATTGCTGTTGGAACAGGGTTTTCACACCTAGTATCTCAGTTTCCCCAGCCAGAAAATGAGACAAGAATGGATGCTTTTGTGGATTGTTGTGAGGCCCTAAAATGATTAAGTTTGGCCACTGGGCCACAACAGAGTAGGTATGGCTTTTGACTGAATTTGGTAAACCGAGAGGACTTCTATGTTTTGTTTTGTTTTTTTTTTTCAGATGAAATGATTTATTATTTGGAAATAATTTAAAACTTAAAGAACACCTGCAAAAATAGAACATAGGCCTCTCATAGACTTATTGTCTGGATTTATAAGTTAACGCCTTGCTCTCTTAGCTTTATTGGGGATGCCTTTCCCTCTCCCTCCCTTCTTCCCTCTCTTTCTCTCTCTCTCTCCCTCCCTGTACATATGAACTGTTACTCTTTATTACTGTTTTTACATTTTTGAGGTGTGGGGGATTGAACCCAGGGCCTTGAACATGGTAGGTAAGCTGTCTACCACTGAACTACACCCAGCCTTATTAGTATTCTTTTTAAGAACTGCTACAGAGTAAGTAGGAGACGTCAGCCCTCTTTACCACTAAATAGTTCTGCATGTGTTTCTTAATAGCAAGGACTACATATAAACATCAATTATCAATTTCAGAAAAGTTTTTATATTAATGTAATACTGTTATTTAA